CTACCAGCACCACGGACCCCAGCACTGTGAGAGAATAAATTCTGGTTTAAACCACATCTGTCATACATGTTAAGTATCCATTACCCAAAATGCTACAGACCCAAAGTGCTTGGGATTTGGGATTTTTACAGATTTTGGACTATTTGCACACACACAATGAGGCATGTCGGAAGTGGACTTCAAGCCTAAACACATTAATTCATTTATGTTTCAAATAGACCTTGTACACACATAGCCTGAAAGAAATTTTGGACATCTTAATACACCCGTGTTTTGATGCAATCCATGAAAATTCCACACTTACAGGCAAGCTTGCCTTGAATAGTTTGGAGCGCCTCCTCAGAACCAGAATTGGTAGACATAGTTAAGCAGTCCCAGTCACAGAAGTGATCATTATCTCAGTCCTGGTTTGAGGACGGTTCTGGAGAAGTGATCACTGTCATCACCTGGGGAGAACAGTCTGGTCAGGATAAGCAAGTCATTTGGGTGGTCTGCCCAGGAGAGCGCTGCTATTCCTTTCCTTGGGGGCACTTTTCTCCATCCCTTTTTGTAAACATGAATCAGTCAGTGTAGTCCTTTCTGGATTCCAAGTGGCTGCAAGGTGAATGACTCAAAGCAAAGCCAGATAGAAAAATGGAGAAAGATGTCACCCTCTTTTTCCTGTTTTTAGGAAGGATTTTCAGCAGAAGCATTAGTACCTGTTACATATACACTGCATAGGCAGGAAAGTGAGCACTCCAGACGTTGCTGGAGGCTGGCTATTGGGACAGCCATTGGAGAGTCATTGGTCAGTGTCTATTAAATTTCAGTTTGATTGCTTGTTCTAGCAGTTTCAATGGCAGAATGACAGATGTGTGAAGCAAAAGAAAGTTAATGTTGTCAGTAGGGCATAGGTTATGGCAACACAACACAAAAAAACCCTCCCCCCACCACCATAGATGCAGGAATGCCGGTAAGAGAGTTTCAGTAAGAAGAGGTGTACCACAGCGTGAACGGAACGGTACAATTTGGGTGAAAATGTAAATGTGCTGGTGCAGTCTGTGATCAGAAGACTTCAAATTCTTTGAATCCCACTGGGAAGAATCCATGGCCGGACACATGGGTGTAAATGGAGTTTATTAAAAGTTAGGGAAGGGAAATACAAAGGGAAGCATGGTGGGTCCAGGTGGAAGCCGAGAGCTTGTTTCTGCTCTTCAGATGCTCTTAAAACCTACGATAACCTATGGGAAGGGGAGAACCAGGTGATTTTCATCCAGTAATCAGTGGGGTGGGGTGCGTGGGTGGTTCCTGGCCAGGTGAGGGTAGGTCCTGAGCCAAAGCCTGATTAATCTAAGATGTAATAATTTTTTTTCCTGAGTCCCAAACTTTCCCTACTTTAGCCTGCCTCTAAAGGGGGTAAAGATTCTTGCTTGTTTGTGTGTGAAAACAGCTCTCAGAGGTAGAGAGTGGCTGGGGGCCAGGAGTGGAGGAAAACTTCTTCCTGTGTACACTTTGGTACTTTTTAAATGTTTGAACTCTGACATTTACTTATTAACTAAACAAATTATTTCCCTTATGAGAAAATTATATCACAAGGTCATTCATAATTTATGTCGAGGTCACTTTAAAAATTAATCGTTCTTGTTAAAATTGTTTTGTTCTGAGAAGCCTACTCTTGGCATTTTTCCTGGGGACCAGGTCCCGTTTGGGACTGGGGGCTTTGGTCCTCCATCTGGGCAGGGGACAGTGTGTGGTCCTCTCCCAGATCAGCTCCTTGGCTTCTAGTGCAGAACTCAGGAGAACAATGTTCCAGGCTTCGTTTTGCCTGGAAACTGTTTGGACTTATTAATTAGGCCAATTTAGCGTCCCCAGGTTACTTCAAGGCATCTCTGGGCGTGGTGTCGGTGAAGCCCACAACACATTGTTTAGTACCTTGAACATTTCACCCTCTCATTTTTATTGTCATGTGAACTGTGAGGTTTGAAGGAACTGGTCTTACTACCATCCTTTCATGGATGGGGGACTCAAAACAGGTCCACTAGTCTCTCCCTGTGCATTGCAAGTCTTCCAATTGCAGTTTCAATGTGCTGTGGCCCCCACCATGTTGGTGCTATGGGAGTTGGGGCAGAGGCACTTCAGTGCATCACTCGCAGGGTATTTAAGGAGCAGTGACTTGATTCTGGTGGGCCTAGTGTTTGGGTAGGTCCCCACCCAGCATGTCCTCCAGGAAGAAACAGAACTGAAATGGGTGGGGCTGGTCTTTTTACACCCTTCCTCTCCAGGAAGGAGGAGGCCTTTGTCATGAGAAGTTGGGACTTTGGCCTTTGAGCTGCAGAGTGAGTTCTTTTGAGTACATGGCCCTGGAGCTATCAGGATGACACAGATGCATCCTACTAGGTCTCCTTTGAAAGGAAAAACAAGTGCAGTTAGAGGGGTATTTTATTTCCTTGGGAGGCAGGTAGTTACCTACCTTGGTAGATTTAGGAAGAGAGCCAAGCAAATAAACTGAGGAGGGTGGGACTTTGGAATGTCCCACGGATGAGGGTGTGGTCACTGTGTCTTGCTGTTTCAGGAAGCAGCATGGTGACACCCAGCCCCTAAGTCAGCAAAAGTTTGCTTCCCAGGGTGTCATTGCACAACTGGCTGCAGGGGACATTCCCTCCTGTGTCCAGAGCTCATCTTGCTCTTAGCACACTCAGTACTCAGAAATAAATGGGATGGATACTGAGTCAAACTGAAGCCAAGGGAGTGGGAGTAGAGATTGAAAGTTCCAAGGCCTCTGAGAAAAACAAAAACACTGAAAAAACAATGTAGGTTTGTTGTGTCATCCAGAAAGAAACTGGTCTTCCCTGGAAGAGTGTATTTCTAGCCATCAGACAAGCAGCTTCTGGAATGCCTAGAAGGAGCAGAACACGCCTTCATCAGGAAGGGCAATGTTAGGGAAGTCTGCAAGGGAATATGTTTATGGAATTAAAGGAAGGTAGTAGAATACTTGTTATGATAGGAAGTTTTCTTGAAATCCAATCCAGGGCCTTATCAAGCCATTTCAAGGCAGGTGCCGTGACTGCATGGCTCTTGAATAAGGACCATGTTTGTGGCTGTAATGTACATCCAAACACATCATCCAAGGCTTTGTGCCTTTCCCCACCCAGCCTGAACTTGCCTTCAGTATATAATATAGCACATTTCAAAGCATGGGAAAGTATTCTACACATATCAAAGCTTGGACTGTCCATTTTGGATTCTTCTTAGAATTAATTCCAGATGGCAGGATTTGGTTTAAGTTTTAAAAGGAATTTATTTTACATGTGCAGTGCATGCACTGGGACCTTCCCAAAGCAAATATACAGCCAGCATAAGCTACCTCCTCTTGGGTTTTGCGGACCACAGCTAATTTGTCCTGAGCTCAGTGTGCCAGGCACTTTAATTTGCTGGTAAGTGGAAAATACAGAGAAATAAATGTCAAATGAACTCACATTGATAGGTGGTTTTATCTAAGGCAAGGAGGAGGAAGGCAGGTGGATTTTCCTATCTGGGGGAATACAAAAGTACAAAGACCCACACATTCTGTTACTGGTGCTTGGAGTGTTTCAGATATTCCTCAATCCTTTGGGTATGATGTCTGTGATTAGCACACTGTCCCAGGTGCAGTAAAAGAACCACAAAGAGTAGGCAGATAGCATGGAATGATTGAGTAGCAAAGGGAAAGTATACCTGGAGGGATGAGGCGGGAAATTGGATAAGGGCCATCTTTTGTCTTAATGGGGAGGGTTACTGGATGACAGAAATTTGGGGCCCTTTCCTTGTGGTCCCTACTCAAGTGATTTGACAACTTTGCAGTGACTGCCCCAGTGTGGGATGTCATATGCCTGTCTTTGGATCCTCTTTGCCCTTCCCAGCTCAGCACCACCAGTGGAAGGAGTGATCTTGATGTAGGGAGTAGGCTTTCTATTGGCCACCTGGGGTTAGAGGATAAAGTCTTATAGCTTGGGTCACTTCCTTGTTTCTGCTCATTCCTATCCAGCTGCCTACAGTAACAGTTTGAGAAGAGGCTCAATCTTTATCTAACAGTGAGACCCACATGGGGCCTTGGGGAGGGGCCTCTGTGCTTTTTTCTAGAACCAGGACCCAGTGCCCTGACCACTTGGCTTCAGGTTCTCAAACTCGGCTGTGCCTGAGGCTCACCCAGCGAGGTGATTTGAAGCTGTCCTGAAGGGATCACAGAGCCTCAGAGTCCTTTTGCTTTGTTTTGCTTTTCTCAATGAATGTAAAAGCTACCGTGGAGTTTGAGTGGACAGTGAAACATGATTTAGGCACAGTCCTTGGTGTCCATGGGGACTGGCTCCAAGACCCATTTGGATACCCATCTGCAGATGCTCAAGTCCCTTATAGAAGAGAACTCTGGAAGCCTTCAAGAGAGATCTCAGACACTGGTGATGAAAGGACACAGACACTGTCAGACTGGGGGCTGCTTTTCTAGAAAGTTCCCTGAGGGGAGAGACTACGGCAGCTTTTAGGGGTGTTGAAAATTGGGCCTTTCCACATGACGAGTATATCCACAGCTACCTTTGCTGTGCATGCTAGGGAATATACTTCCTTTACCCAGAAGGGCCTGGAGACAGCTGTGCTGCTCAGAACTGCAGGCAAGGGCCCCATGTGCCCTGACCACTTGGCTTCAGGTTCTCAAACTCGGCTGTGCCTGAGGCTCACCCAGTGAGGTGATTTGAAGATGTCAGTGCCCTTGGTCCCTCTTGGAGAGTCTGGCTCGTAGATCTGCAACTCCCCAGCAGAGTTTGCAGCTAGACCCTGGTCAGACCTTCACTGCCCTCCTAGATGCTGAAGGAAGTTTGTAGGTACACTGTGATTTGCTGTGCACTTGTCACTTTGACACACTTTCTTTGCTGGCATATGTTTATAAAACTTTCTGCATACAAAATCATAGCAAGAATATTATCTCCAATTACTTAAAATAATTTGGTTTGTTTTAAAAATAATTCCCTCTTTTGCTTTTGTTTGCATAGGACACTAAGTTGTGGATAATAATGGAATATCTTGGTGGAGGCTCTGCACTGGATCTGGTAAGTATTGTGTCGGATGCGTAACATGTACCTACGCCTTTTCTCCCTCCGTTGTGGCTTGAAAGGTATTCATTTCATCATTTTAAGTTGCACGAAAAAGGAGCCCAACTATTCCTTATATATTTTTGCTTCTCATATATTACTGAAAATTAAGGGTGTGCTTTTGAAACCAGCTTTTCTGTTGTTTTATAGGAAACCAGTGAATTAATTTGTAGGTGCTGTGAAGGATTTTGCCTGAAATTTATCTTGCTTAAGAACAGTTGGTTAACTTATTTTCCAGAACAAGTTTATTAGCTTGCAGAGCTAATAACCATCATGGTTTCATAGTTCAGACTGTAACTTAGCTCCCCAAATCAGCCTGTCACACTTTCATCTTGGAGGTAGGAGAGGTGTGATTATTGAGGTGTGGGGTTAGATGGCAGAGCAGTGGTCAGGCAAGGAGTTGCTTATGTGGCTGCTTTTGCAGCGTGCGTGGTGCTTGTAGATGGACCAGGCCTAGCCCAGTTCTGTCTTCTCTGGATTTGTCTTTGAGGGCTTTTCATGGTGCCAGTGCATATATAAGGTAATGGAAGCTAGGAAGAGGTGCTTTGCTTGTTGTGTAAAATATGGCCTCATGTTGGACTTTATAGAGTGCTCACCAGCTCTTGCAAGCATGACTTAACCTCTTGCATCATCCTTGAGATGCAACCACCTCACATGGTTGTGTAGCACTGTTATCTTATCCCCTACCAGGCTTGTAGGTGAGCTGCAGTCCCCTAGACTGGCCGGATCCTTTGTTCCAGCATTAGGTGTACAACTGCCTGAGAGTAGGTTGTTCAGGGTGCCGGACCTGTGGTTTTCACTGCTGGCTTCACAAGAGCTGAAGGAGTTTTGGTAGTTACACCCTACCCAGTTTCTACTCACTAAGGAGTTGATTCACAGTGACAGTAGCACTAGGCAGCTTTCTGGGAAGGTAAATTTCTATAACTTCAGAAAGATAATGTGCCTAATTTAGAAAATTACATACTGCTATAAATCATAAAATTTGGTCAAAATGATAAAAAGGAAGCTTTCAAAAAAAAAGTTAATATGATATAAGCAATGATATTAAGATGGGGAAAAAGCTGCATACATTTTATGGTCTTTTCCATAAATCTACACATTACACAGAAATCTTTTCAGTCTGTTGGGAAATACTCTGGGAACATAGAAAATCGCCTCCTTTTGTGCAGTTAGATTTACAGTTAGTTGAGTATCATTTGTGGCACATAGAGCGTTGTCTACAGGGACTTTTCTTCTGACACGGAGTCCTTCAGAGCTGCACTTCCAGGCTCTAAATGCTTTCGTGTATTCGTTCTCAGAGCTGCAGTCATTTAATTTATTCCATTTGATGTCTGTGCTGCATTAGAAATCATAGTTGGAAGGCAATGTAGAATCCACTTTAAGATTTGCACACAGAGTGAGAGTCCCAGCAAGTCACTTGTCCGCCTTCCACATAAATATCCCTGGCAACAAGAAAAAGTCATTGTTTTTTGAATCCCCCTGGCCTTTCCATGTTACTGGGTCACTCAGAGGCTGGGTGCAGCTAGCAAGATGGAGCTGGACCGTGGACCCCGCTTTGCTAGCCTCAGAGCCCACTGGCTGTCCTGGAGCCAACACTGCCCTTTCCCTGCCTCTGACTTTGTTGTCTCTTTCCCTCATGTTTCCAGTTCTTCCCCCACCCTCTCAAAGAGGCAGATATGGATGTACTTTAATAATGGGAAATAGTAATTGCTTTTCAAACATTGAAAACAAGTAGGGTTATTTTGAGAGGATCTTTTTTCTTCTTTTTTTTTTTGTGGAATGGGGGTTTGAACTCAGGGCTTCACACTTGGAGGTTCTCTACCACTTGAGCCACACCTCCAGTCCATTTTGCTTTGGTTCTTTGGAGATGGTAGATGGTGTGTGTTTTGCGGGGGCTGGGGGGGTGTCTCATGAACTATTTGCCTAGATTGGCCTTCAACGGTGATCCTCCTGATCTTATCCTCCCAAGTAGTTAGGATTATAGGCCTAAGCCACTAACTCCCTGCTGAGAGGGTCTCGTGTGTTTATAAAAGATTAAGAAAAAAAATAGAATTATGTCATGCATAAAAGAGTGATACTAGGAAGTCGAGGGCTATTTCTTTGAAAAATTAAAACTTTCTTGCTTTTCTTGTCTCTCTAATAGATTTGCTGACAGGTAACTTGGGGAAAGATGACTGTGTATTCTGGTGCTGCATCCATTTGCACTTAAAAAATGCAAAATTGGGATCTAGTATGATAAATAAGGAGACAGTATAGTCCAATAATTAAGAGCAATAAGCATAAGATAGACATGTCTTATTTTGAATGCATACCTGAATGTGCTCAGTCTGTTTTTTTCCATTTAAATGATTAATTGAAACTACATGTTTGTGGAAACCCCAAGGTCACTCTGCGTTCTTTGGGTTACAGTTTAGCATCTACTTGTCAGGAATTTCTTAAGTCCAGTCACCTCCAAGGTGCTGTGACTTAGGGGAATACGACGTGTACTGTGCGACTCAAGCCGTGCCAGTTTCCAGAGGAGAGATTTTGTAGCCTAGTGAGTGAAACTGGTTTTTGTTCAGAAAATATTTGTTGGGTGCCTGCTGCATGTCTGGTGCTGCTCTGGCCATTGGGGTCTGGCAGTGAGCAGAGTGGGTCTTCCCCCTGTCATGGAGCTGGATCCCTTGGCAAGCATGGGCAGGTATATCACATGTTAGAAGGAATACAAGGCAAAGAAAGCAGGTGGAGGGGTGGCGAGAGTTGGGTGAGGATTGGCAGGAGGGCCTGAGACTGAAAGGTTTTAGCTGATTAAAAGACAAGACAGCCTTGGAATCCAATTAAGAAGGAACTTGCTTGGTAAGTCGGTCACCTACCTAACAGGTACAGGTGTTTGACAAACTGAAAAATGAACACACAACATGACTTTGAAAGAATGAGATTGCAGTTCCTAACATTTAGGGTGAGCTGTTCTGGAGGCTCCAAGCAGTGTACAAGGTAGAAATTGATTTCTGTCCGGCACATGAGGTCACCCACAGTCTCCCCACAGTCTTCAGCCTTTGTCCTCTCCAACTGCCAGTGTTTCAGGGCCAGAACCAGGAGGGAGCATGTATTCCATCTGCTCATCTTCCACGGTGGGGACTGAGTTACACGGCCACATGTTGCTGCTTCAGAGCCTGAGGACCATATGCCTGGCCGATGATGGTCTGTACGGCAGAGGAAGAAGGGGGAGAGGGGAGAATTAGAAGTCACCCCTAGATAGGATGTAGTACGCATTTTTTTCCCCCTGTCAGTCTTTGTTATAAATGCTTGCTTTAAGGACTGGGTTTGATGGCACAAATCTGTTATAACAGCACTTGGGAGGCTAAGGCAAGATGAAGCCAGCCTGGGCTATGTAGTGAGACCCTATCTCACCCCACCAAAAAAAAGTCTTTAGAAAGTTCACAATCCTTTTAGTGATTGAGTCCTCCATGTTTATCCTGTGTAGAAATTGTGACAACGGAGAATGCTAGTATGTGACTTGGAGGACTCAGCTCAGCCTGGTCAGACCCACTCGTGAGGAAGAAGTTTATGGTGTAGAGAATCGCTGAATACCTTTTACAGTGGGTTTGACACTGTGTTCATCAGGGTTCTTCAGAGAGAAAAAGGCATAGGGGATGGCTGCATGGATGGAGGGATTTGTTAGGGGAATCGCTCCTGTAATTATTGAGGCTGAGATGTTCTGGTCTGCACACTGGGAGAACTAGGGAATTTGGTAGTGTGGCTCAGCCCAAAGGCCAAAATAATTGGGGTGTGGGAGCAGGGTGGAGCTGGTGCAAGTCCCTGAATCCAATGCCAGAGAACCTGGAGTTCTGATGTAAGGGTAAGAGAAGGGTGTCCCACTGCTAGAGGAGAGAGGGAGGGAGAGAGAATGACAATGACAATGTAGGATGACTGTGCTCTCCTTAGTCTACTAATTCAAATGCCAGCCCCTTCTGGAAATACCCTCACAGACACACATAGACACTGTGCTTTACTAGATATCTTGACACCTGAAACTGACCATCATGAATACCAAAAAGGCTTTTACTCCACACAGATAGAATCTGTTTTCTTATCCTCCTTTTCTGCCCCTTGTAGACATGTAAACCAGTGATGGGTGGAGTTCAAGCCAGATTCAATCTTAATTGTCTAGTGGGGAGACTGCCAGTTAGTTTTTCCTCAGCTGCCTTCCTGATCTCAGGGTACTGACACCAGGATGCTCAGCCGTTTCTGTCCAGGAACTCGATCACAGAAGGAGGGACTGATGAGGTAAGCCCATGTGGCTGGTTGATTGGGGAAAGTCTTGCTGTGGACCCAGACTCTGAACTGTGACTTTTGAATGACTGGATCCATTTCCTGTGCTCTGGTATTGGGAACAGGAGCAAAGGAACCAGCATCTCCGCACTCTTTTTTCCTCAGAGGATGAGAACAGTGTGTTTTTCTTATTTTGCAAACTAAACTCACATTTCATGAGCACTGAAGAATAGATAGGGAAGCAAGCTGACTCGTCATGAGGCAGGGGTCCAGACTGTCTCTGGAACATAGTGGCTTTGCTGTTTCTTGAAATTGAGACTTTGTGTCAAATAACTTTGGGAAAAGTTAGTGTGCATCGTGCTGTCCTAGTCTGAGAGTCTGAAGACAGTACCTTTGGGAATAATTCCTGGCAAGCCAGCAGTCGCCAGCATTTTGACTTTCTCCGAAGGGATCACATGAAAGCTAACCAAAGGCCAGTGGCACCTTCTCTTCCTCGTGTTCTGAATGGGCTAAAGCCAGGCGACAGCTTGACCCCCATATATCCTGCTGCCAGACAAGCCAGATCTCCAAGGCCTGAGTGTTAGGAGAGGCAGCCCTGATCATGGCCTCCAACCTTTGGGGGCTATAGTGTAGACTGGGTGGGCCTCTGAGATGAACTGGAAAGCAGGGCTCCACAAGCCTCTCCAGGTGTCACACAGGACATGTAGTGAAGGCGTCTTGCAAGGAATGCCCCACGTTTCCTCTCTTTTTGGGGTAGAGCACACTCATCCTTGTACAGCTGAGTGGACACCACTGGGCTGTGTCTTCCACCTAGCCAAGGCCTGAGTTTGGGTTACCATGACATTGACTGTCAAGTTGGAAAGTGCGGAGGAGAAACGAGTCAGTCTTGTGGGAGCTGCCTGCTCTGCTCTTGGGTTTTTAGGGAGTGTTAGCTTGCTTTCCTGGTAGAACTTAGGCGTTTACAAGTTGTGGTCGAGTTCCCTGCTCCACAGGTGATGGTGGACACACTGTCTGATCTGACCTCCTTCATCTGCCTAGTTTTTCCTTGTAAATGGGGACAGGTATGCGTGACATTTCTTCCTCACATCTGCATAGATGAACGGATAGGGAAGAGCCAGTAGTAACAACTCCTTTGAGTTTCTCAGAATGAAAGTTTTTCAGAGACAATTATTTCCTCATTAGGGATAATTAATTTTTATTCTGTATGCATCCTATAACAAATCCCAAGTATTGGGAGTTGAGCTTTCAGCTGTGTCCCCATGCAGATGCAAAACATTCTGGTGCAGAGGCAGAGGCAGCCCCAGGAAGCAGTGGGCTCCTCGCCTCCCCCTTCTCACAGCTTGTGTTTTTGTTACGGGGATGCCTTTTCTGGTAAGGTGACCACATACATTAGGGTGGGTACTGATTGCACTGGGAGTGTCTGGGCTTTTTTTTTTTTTTTTCTGGACTGTGCAGCCCTGCCTATGTCCTATCCTGTCATGTCAAGGGGTGAGCCTCGCAGGTCAGCTCAATTTGTGGGCCACAGGTGTAACTGACTGGGGCTTTCTCATTGGTTCCACTGATCTTGGCTGGCCTTGAATTCAGCAAGGCTGTTTTCTCTGCGTCTTTCCTTTTTAGGGTGCTTTAATAGATTTAATTGTTTAGGCAAAATAGCTTTTAAGTGAAAGTGTTTTTTAGTTTTTATTATCCTTGTCTACTTAACCTGAATATTATCTCTCATCTCAAGTTATGTGTAAGACAATCACTGATGTTAATAGTCATTTTTTTCTTGTTAGTTAGAACCTGGCCCTTTAGACGAAACTCAGATTGCTACCATACTAAGAGAAATACTGAAAGGACTCGATTATCTGCATTCAGAGAAGAAAATCCATAGAGACATTAAAGGTAAGAGCTTCTTGTTTTCATTCCTTTGAAACACCTGAAGAGGCAGAGCCTCTGTGTGTGTTGGTTGGTTGGTGGGTGGGGGTTGTGATGAGAAGTGAAGCCCTGGGCCTGGTCTTGTCAGGCACTCAGGCTGGCCGGCAGAGAATGCACCTGCTCTCCTGGTGACCAGGAATGGAGTAGTGCAGTCAATGATGACGGGCTTCCTTGGTTCTTTCTCAGCGGCCAACGTTCTGCTGTCTGAACACGGAGAGGTGAAGCTGGCTGATTTTGGAGTGGCTGGCCAGCTGACAGACACCCAGATAAAAAGGAACACCTTCGTGGGCACCCCCTTCTGGATGGCACCCGAGGTCATCAAGCAGTCAGCCTATGACTCCAAGGTAAGAGGCAGCACTCGGGCTTACTGCGTCCAAAGGCTCTCTACTTTTGTTTTGCAACCTTCAGCTGCCCTGGCTGGTGCACTCGGGTAGGTCTTGAAGGTAATTCTGTGACCTTGGATACCGTCCGTTCTCCTCTCTCTGCTGCGGCATTGACACCTTGTTCATCCACCAGTTACTGTGGGTTTTAGCTCAGTATTTGATAGGGTGGGGATACAAGGATCTTGTGTGAAGGAGGGTGTGGCACAGGAGGACCATGGTGTGAGGATGGGCACAGGTACACCCTCTGAGACACTGAGCACTGCCATATGGAAAGGGCATAGAGAAGAGACGGGAGAGGCTTCAGAAATGCCACCGCAGATGGGAGTGACAATGCTCTCAGTGACTGCTGTGGTCCTTCCTACCATGTTATCTTCAGTCCTCAACCATCCTAATCCCCAGAGACTCCTTAGCAACTTGAGACAAAATTCTAAAATCCAGCTTTTCCTCCTCAGGTTATACTCCTTAGCCTTTTCTGTATTTTCGTAAACTTTGTATGGACCAAAGTCCTCGGGACTCCTTGTCCCGTTTCTCTGGTTTCCGTCTGTCCTTCTCTGTGGCCTATGCATGGTAAAAACGCATGATCCACAATTGCCTTTCCTGAGCTTAAAAACTTGTAAGCAAACAGTATTAAATGAGATATGTTTACTTGTAAGCAAACAGTATTAAATGAGTCAAACATTGTGCCTTTGACTTTTTTTTAATTAAAAAGGTTATTTTTGAGACAGGGTCTCACTGTGTGGCCTTGGCTGGCCTTAGCTAGTGCCATTGCTTTCTAAGCCTCCCAAATACTGTGTTTGTAGGAGAGAGTCACCAAGCCCGGCTTATGTCTTTATTTTAATTTTAATTTATTATTTTTTGATAGTACTGGGGCTTGATCTCAGGGCCTCATCCTTATTAGGCAGACTTGAGCCATACCCCCAGCCCTTTTTGGCTTTGTATTCTGGATGAGGTCTTGAGGTTTTGTCCTGGCTCTCTACATGTATGTCCTGCCTAGCTTGAATTACAGGAGTGTACCATCATGTCCATCTTGTGGGTTGTGATGGGGTCTTGTGCTATCTTTGCCTAGGCTGGCCTGGAACTGCAATCCTGATTTCTGTTTCCACACTAGCTAGGGTAACAGGTGTGGACCTAGCTTGTATCTTTTTAAAAATGGAAACCGCCTCCACCTTGTTAAACAAAGCATGGAGCTGGGGTGGGGGGTGGGTAACTTTCCTTTAGGACCTAGGGGACACCATTGTAATCTGTCTGCCATCACTGCATGTTGATGTGGCTAAAGGTGCCGGTGTCCTTGGTTCTGGCTTAGGAGGGGTGAACCTGTCTGCCTCAGTGTTAAATTTCAGTGGTGGCCATGACTTCTGTAGGCACTCCAGTGGCGTGAGGATCCAGTGTGCAATGTTCCTGGCTATCTTGGGGACCTGTGTGCATTGCTCATGGGTGCCTTTGCCCTGTGGATGACGGGTTACCTCCATGGCTACTTCTCTTCTCTGGAGCAACTTTTGTTGTTGGGTCATGTCATTTTTGACTTGAAGGGGATGTAGGTTTCATTCTCTTCATGTATCAAGGTTCATATGTCTGGGCTTTGATAGGGAGAGACTGGACAAGTTCTTAACTCACCACCTGGAGTGTTCTCGTTTTTTGTAGTGTATTAGCTGATCAACCATGCCCAATGTGACCTGGGACTCAGGTTGTATATTTTCAGTTCTGCCCTTTGCTGTTCACTTTGGAATTTTTTTTTAACAGCTGCCCTTTGAGACTTTCTTCCTGGTGTGGGGCCTCTCTGGGCGATTGTGGAAGGTGCTCTGAGCTCCAAGAGGCTTTGCCACTCCCCTTCCTGGAGCTCCTGTCTGGAACAGAAGGCTCTTTGTGACTATGGATGTGGTCACAATCATAATCACACTTGTTTGTGAGGAGATAGCATGAGAAAATGTGTGCCCCTCTTCCCCAGGCTTTTAGTACTTGATCTTTTACTCTGACTAGTCAGAAACCAGTTCTTTTGTTTGCTTGGATCATGCGCAACGGTTCTTAAGTGAGTCCAGGTGTGAACACGTGTTGTGTGGAACACGTATTGTGTGGAATGGACCGTCAGGTTTTCTGGCTTAGGAGCACGCTTGTGCACATGAAGTGTGGTCAGTGTTGAGGTTTTCAGAATGCGGCAGAGACTGGCAGCTTTTTCCTTGTGGCTGTCCTCCTGGGACTGGTGTGCTTGCCAGGGCCGATGCTCCTCCGGATGCTCTGCAGCTGCAGGGGCAGCTGTGCTCTCTGGGAACCAGACTTCTTCAGCATCCTTCACTGCCCCACCATACGTCCTGTGTACATGTGGAGGCAGCCTCCCCCATTGGGATCTGCTTCATAGGGACGGGGATCTCCGACGCAGGGCCCAAAACTTCTGTCCTGGTAGTTCTGAGCACACGTACTCAGCAGCTTCTCCTCAGTGCCTGCGTCAAGTCATCCACCTGCCTCACGGTGTCTTCTCGCTGCACTGGAGGGAGAGAGCACTTTTGTTTGCTGAAGACATCTGAAACCCTGCTTGCCATGATAACCTCCCTGCAGCTTTGCGTCTGTGACTCTGGTAGGTTGTCTGGGCTGCCCAGTTGCTCCCAAATTCGCTTGCATGTACAGGGCCTCTCATATCAGCCTCAGGGCTTTTTGTTTGTTTGTTTTGGCGGTATTGGGGTTTGAACTCAAGGACTCCTAAAGTAGCTGGGATTACAGTCATGAACCACCGGTACCCAGCTGTTAGTTTGTTTTGAAACTGGGTCAAATTATATCTGTAGCCAAGCCTGGTCCTGAGCTCTCCATCCAACTGTCTTAGTCTCCTGAGTGCTGGGATTATAGGCATGCACCACCACGCCAGGCTTCAATCTCAGTTAAGAATCTAAGTATAGCAGTACTAAGTCCTGTTGCCCATGTGCCTTAAGAACCTCTGTCGTTACTACTATTTTGAAGGTGACTTGGGGAAGGTTTGCTTGTTTTTTAAAGAGCATAAGCTGTATTATGTCTTTAGATCTGAAGCCAGCTTGCCTTATCTCACACAATACTGTGAGGATTTGGGATGTTATTGTATGTTCTGTTCCTGCTGCTGCTGGGGGAGTCCTTGGCTGTCAGGAACAGATGAGGTCACTCACGTAGCTGTCCTACGTGGAAGTGGCCACGTAGGGAAAGATCTGCCCACAGATTTTAACACCTGCCTCTTCAGAGCATCTGCCCTTTCAGCTTTTGACGTGTCTCTTTTTTTGGGCAACACTAGGGTTTTGAACTTAGGATCTTACCCTAGCTGGGCAGGTGCTCTTACTGTTTGAGCCAATCCGCTAGCCCTTGACTTGTTTTATATTAAAAACCATTGTTAGGGAGTCTTTACTCCCATTTCCTGTGTGAGGCACAGGAAATGCTTCTCTCTCTTTTGCTTCCCCCCTGTTCCTCTCCTAATAAACTTCACTGTTACTTTACAAAATAAATAAATACATAAACCCCAAACAATTAGGGGCTGGTGGAGTGGCTCAGTGGCAGAGCAACTGCCTAGCAAGTGTGAGGCCCTGAGTTCAAACCCCAGTACAATACCCCCCAACTCCTCCAAAAAAAACCCCCACCAAACGAACAAACAATAAAACGAAAAACAAACCACTGTCAGCCAGGAGTGGTGGCTCGTACCTGTAGTAAACTCAGCTACTTGGGAGACGGGGATAGGAGGACTGTAGTTCAAGGCCAGCCTAGGCAAAAAGTTAGCAAGACCCCATCCCAAAAAAACAAGCTGGATGGGTGGCACATGGCTATAATCCTAGCTATTACAAGGGAGGTGTAGGTAGGAGATCATCATCTGAGGCTGGCCTTGGGCAAAGAACAGGAAAACATATCAGAAAAGTAAAGCAGAAAGGGCTGTGGGTGTGGCTCAGGTGGAGGCCCTGTGTTTAAAATCCCAGCACTATGTGTTATGACTTAATGTGGATTTGTGTTTATACAAATTTTATTTGTATGATTTCATGTTAAACCTCAAATAAATGCTTCCTTATGTGCAAATAAAATAAAATAAAATAAAATAAAACCCCAGCACTACCAAAACAAGCAAACAGAAGAACCACCATGGACTGCTGTCAGCAGTGTCTTAACATCTAATTCGTTTTGCACATAGCAGAAAGATGGATCCCTTACTATTCCTCAGTTTCCCTTGCTTCAGAAGACGACTGTCCTTTTCATGTTCAGGTGCACATTCTAAGTTAGATGAAGTAATAGACAAACTCAGTTATATTCATTAAGGTTCTCTACCAGCACCATGTTGTTGATGCTACATGAAGCGAATGGACTAAAGAACTTAACGTTCTTAGGAGGCTGACTGAGAAACACTGCTGGTGAGTGTTTGGGGCGGTGCCTACCTGCCCTCTCCAAATCTCACATTTATTTCGATTCCTATAAGTGGAATTAATTTTTTAACAAGCTTGGATATTTTTGTAGCTTTAGATTCATCTGCCACATTGCTTGGAATTTATATTTGTGCCAGTCTGCGTGTCCAGGTTTGCCAGTAGGATGATGGATGACTACAGGCAGAAAGATCACATGAGGCCCTGCAGTCCTGGGTAGAGGACGACTCTGAACCAGGAGCTAGGAGCCACACACCTGGTGCCTGGCTGGGTTTAGGATGGTCCATAGGGGAGTCCTGAGGGACTGGGTGACCCTCGGGCTCTTGGCTAGATTGCCTAGAGGATGGCCCACACTTTGTCTTGCTGGAACTGCTTGGGCCTCTCTCCTGGGGAAGCCAGAATGAGCCAAGCATGGGCCGGTCTGGGTCGGGTTGAGTTTGCCAGGCCATCATCTCCTCATGAGCAATGGCACAGGGGAGCAGGGTCCAGCGCCTTTCCAACTTGCTGCTTGCTGCTGCTTGGACACCACCACACCCAAAGCAAGTCGTCAGGCCTCTGCTTTGTGAGTGCACACCCATCTCTGACAGCCCAAGCAGAGACTATCATCCACCAGGCCTTCCAGTTGTGGGCTGTGCTGAACTGGTTGTGAGATAATTGGAGGTCTGGAGGTACATCGTCAAATTACGTGGACAGAGGCCCTGGGTCTGTGTGGCCAGCTTTAATGGAACTGAGAGGGCCGGTGTAGGCAGGAGGAGCCTGTGGGTAAAGAACCATTGTCCTGTGAGAGTCAGATCTGCTACCTGCATTTTCCTGCCACTCCTTCTCCCTTCTTGTGTGGCTGCCTCAAGCTCTTCTGCCACCCTCACGGTTCTGGATGCTTCCCTGCCCGCTGTACCTGTGCACTTGGTCCTCCTCCTGGGGCCGGCACTGGAGTAAACCACATTTCTGACTATTTTAAAACTAGTGCACATGTAAAATAAGTCAGGCCTTGTTGAAGAGAGTTGAGAGAGAAGGAAAATAGGAACATTATTCCTAATACCAGTTCTTCTAGAGTGATCCCTTTAGCGTAAGATTTTAGTATGAAGAATTTAGAGTATGTCTTGGCAGCAGCTGTTCTATCCTTCTGAGAACAGGAGAATTAGACTATGTGGTAGGCCTTGGTCCTACGGATTGCTGGGCTAGGGTTGCTAGTAAGGATATCTGGTGTTTACAGGGTTGCAGGAACCTGGCAAGGGAGTTCTCTCCAGGTTGTTAGAGGTCAAACACTGTCTAGTCTTTGGCCGCCTAAGCAAGACTCCAGCCTTTGCACTTTTTTGCTGTGCAGTGAGCATGAGGGAGATATATCATGTTCTAACTTCAGATCTTGGAGTGCTGATGGATTCCCAGTGTACAGTGACAAGAGCAGAAGTATCACCCCAGTTCTCCGAGTTGGCTTTGTCAGCCTACTTCATTCTATTTCATTTTCAGCTCTGTGCTGTTCCCTGGGGATGATATCAGCTCCTGACAGTGTCTCATTGACACTAAGTTCCCTAAGACTGCCCCACTTTTTTCTTACAGTATATGTTCAAGAATCCACCATCTGCCTAAACCAGTCAGTGCATATCGAGCAGCTGAGCTCTGGGTGCCTGGTGTGGGGGCTACCTGGTTACTGCCAACATTTAGTCTTACAAGCCTCTAGATTGAGTCACTTTGTAGGATCTTTGACAGGAAGTGCAGGAGCTAGAGAAACACATGAAATCCCCCCAGGAAGAAACCACAGAGAAAATCAGAATTTAAGACCTCTTTCTTCTTCAAGTTGATTGGGGAGATTGGCACATGGATTGTTCTAGATTAAAAGAGCCTTGGACAACTGAACCATCAGTATGTGGACCTTGTTTGAATTCTGGTTCAGATAAACCAACTATGGAGATTTTTTTTGAATAGTTGAGAAAACTTATTAAACAAATATTAAACAATTACAGATAGTCCTCTGTCAGCCCTTTGTATGTTGAAAATAAAGCCAGTTGAAAATGCACTGATTACACCTAACTGAACATCCTAGCTTAGCACAGCCCCCTCTAGAGTGCAGGTCTTTTTCCCCTTTGGTATTGGGACTGACTGGAGGGAGCTGTGACAGCTACCTCTGTACAGCATCAGGAGAGAGACTCACTGCATGTCGCCAGCCCAGAAAAAGATCCACATTCAAAATTCAGCGCATGGGCTTTACTGAACCTGCGCCATTGCAGAGTTGAACCATTGTGAGCTGAGGACTACTTTAATCACTAATTTTAGGTGTTGCCACACAGCAAGAAGTACTGATGTTAGTGTACTGAAGTACTGGGGGAGAAGGGTCAGGATTGTGGATTTATTTATTTATTTTATTTGCTTGCAGTACTGAGGTTTGAACTCAGGGCCGACACCTTGAGCCACTCCACCAGTCCTTTTTTTGTGATGGGATTTTTCGAAATAGGATCTTGTGGACTATTTGCCCAGCGCTGGCAGTCCTTCTGATCTCTGCCTCCTGAGCAGCTGGGGTTATAGGTGTGAGCCACTGGTGCTTGGTGCATGACGACTTTTTAAAAATGTACTGTGGCAACAAACACAAAGCTGAAATAGAAAAAAGTTAATGATTAGTAAATTTGATGTATGGGTGCACTGTATTTTCCACTTTTGTGATAGCCGAATGTATTCATAATAAACATTTGTTTTAACTTCTGGGCATTGTGGTAGCAAGTTGCATGACCACCTCTCACAGTCCACATGAGGAAACAAGGCTCAGGGAAGCTGTTTGTCTGTCACAGGACTCTTGACTGTAGAGCTGGCATTTGAACCCAAGTCTCTAGAGATCAAGGTACCCACTTGACTTCAGGGCTGTGCCTGGTGCTAAGCATTGCTTGAGGAAGTGACTCATGGGCATACTCGGCTCCTTCCTGTGCCAGTGGTTCTAGTAGCTGCCATAGGGGCTGTTGAAGCAGTCTTTGTGGAGAGTGGAAGCTATTTGCTATAGCACTTCTTCCTCTTGTGAATCATACCAAGGCCTTGTGTTTCTTGTCATCAGTCAAAAGTGATCATCCTTTTGGAGATCATATAAGTACATTGAGAGCTGTGTTACCTTTCCTTAAGTGTGTATTTGAAGGTGTCCCTGCTCTGTGACTCAAAAGTGCTTTTGTCATTATAGGCAGACATCTGGTCCCTGGGCATCACGGCTATAGAACTGGCGAAAGGGGAGCCTCCTCATTCCGAGCTGCACCCCATGAAGGTTTTGTTCCTCATTCCAAAGAACAATCCCCCAACGCTGGAGGGGAACTATAGCAAACCCCTCAAGGAGTTCGTGGAGGCCTGCCTGAACAAGGAGCCAAGCTTTGTGAGTTTGCGTCTCTGCCTGGGCAACTTGGCTTGATCTGGATCCACCATCGGGCCTTCCTCAGGCACCACTCTCTGCTGCCGTTGTCATCCCATCCTCTCAATATCTTCTTTTATTGAGATGAGTTTGATACTTTTAAGTTGCAAATATGTCTTTATTATTATTTTACTTTTTAAGGATTAAAGACCTACTTATTTTTGTGGGGCAAGGGGTGTTACAGGAATTTGACCTCGGAACCTTGAGCTTGCCAGGCAAGCTCTTTACCACTTGAGCCATGCCTCTGGCCCAAGATCTACTTATTTTATTTTAGGTTTTCTAGAATCTTATGCTTCCTTGAGTCTAAAGAATATTCACATTATTATATGTGAAGTCATAAACTTTTAATATTTACAGAGGAAGATCAGGCTGTAAATGATAAAGCTATTTTTAATAAGGCAAAGGCTAGCTTGAAAAATAATTGTGTTCAGTTTCTAGGTAGAATGTGCTCAGAAACAAGACAAGTAAGAGCTAAACGAGCCACCTATTTTCTCCTCCTCCTCCTCCTCCTCCCTCTCTGTTTAATCAACTGTAGCAGAACCCATAGCGTTGAGGACTATGTGGCTTTCCCTCATCTTTCTCTCGGAATCAGGGCGTGTTTTGCTTTTGCATGTAGCACCCCATGTCTGTTTCATAGCTGAGTTTTATAGGAGAGTTGGCTGAGGGCCACACTGACATTGCCTCCAACCCCGACCCTCCCAATTAACTCTTATCTGAGTTTGGGAGATGAGGGATGGCTTTTATAAGAGCACGTGCTTTCCTAATATGGTGCCAGTTCTGGCGAAGGCGTTCACCAGGTCAGAGCATGGCGGGCTGAGGTGCAGGCCAGTACTGGGTTACTGCATCAGGTAGTGGTGGGCATGCTGGTGACTAGAGCTCTGAATTTTATATCATAATGTTTGCTCCAGGCACAGCACCCAAGAAGAGAGACCCACGTGCATGCACATTTTTCCCGTAAAGCACATGTCTAGTACTGGCCTATTCCTAGGACACACCTTCCACCCCTGGCTTGGTCCTGAACCTGTGGAGGGGAGGAAGGCATGAGCATCTATGGAATGCTGGAGTATGTCAGTAGACAGTGAGGCAGGGATGTTCCCAGTGCCCCGGTTCTCACAGGTTTGAGTGTGGGCAACCTTCTGGAACTTGCTAAGAAAGCCTTAGTCATTTGGCATAGGTGGGAGCTAGGTCTGACTGGCCAGCATCTCTGTTCCTTCTGCCTATCCTGGCTGGGGCACCCTGGGGTTCTTGGGGGGCTTGCTCAGCTGCAGGTTTGCTGCCCTTGAGCGTAAAGCCGGTGGCTGAGTTCACAGTGTGCCATTTGCCTGGAGCCATGCCAAACCCAGATAGGGATGAAACTCTTGGTTCAGTTGCCAAGGTGGGGGCAGACTGGATTGCTGGTAACTGAGGAACCCAGGCAGACTTCCAGCAAATGAGGTCAGGGTCTGTCCTGGCTCCTGTCCAGGTGCTTTTAGATGAGTCCAAATTGGCAAATTCATTTGGGGTATTAGCCCAACAGTACAGAAAGGTAACAGTGACACAGAACATGGATCTCCCTTCCGTCAATCAGTATGGAGTAGATTAGGGATGAGCTCCCAGATGGTTCTTGTGAGGTTCTGTGCAGGTTTCTGGGGGCAGGGTTCCTCTTGCTTTGATTAGACAGTTTCTTTTTTTTTTTTTTTTTCCCAGTATTGGGGCTTTTACCTTGAGCCACTCCACCAGCCCTTTTTGTGATGGGTGTTTTGAGATAGGGTCTCAAGGAACTATTTGCCTAGACTGGCTTTGAACCGTGATTCTGAGCAGCTAGGATTACAGGTGTGAGCCACTGGCGCCCAGCGCTGATTAGACAGTTTCTGGCAGTGTTAAGGATCCTACTGGAAAATAAATGTCACGTTCACTCTGTGCCTGGAGTCTCACTCAGGGGCACAAAACAAGCCTGAGGGAAAAGCTTAGAAGCAGAACCCAATGTTGATGTGTTTACCGTCTGACATTTCAAGGCAGAAATTTGTCCTTCGAGGTAGAACAGAGTGGAACAAAGAACGAGCCTCACCTCACACTTCACTTTGTTGGGCGTGTGTGTCTTCCAGAGACCCACCGCTAAGGAATTACTGAAGCACAAGTTTATCATACGCAACGCAAAGAAAACATCCTACTTGACTGAGCTCATCGACAGGTACAAGAGGTGGAAGGCTGAGCAGAGCCATGATGACTCCAGCTCGGAGGACTCGGATGCGTAAGTCTTCTGCCTGCACTGTGCCCTCAAGTGGGGAGACCACTGGTTCTTGTCTCTCCCTGGAGGTGGGCTTTTCTGTTTGTTTCTTAGATGACCTAGGTCACTGGTGATTTTTGTGTTGGGCACCGTGTGGGCGTCTTAGCCTCTTGTGACACCAGTAGAGTTTCTCCGAGTAACATTCGGTTGGCTGGACCTGTAATCCTGGCTACTCAGGAGGCAGAGATCAGGAGGATTGCAGTTTGTAGCAGCCCCAGCAAATAGTTCATGAGACTGAAAATACCCAACACAAAAAAGGGCTGGTAGAGTGGCTCAAGTGCTAGAGCACCTGTCTAGCAAGCATGAAGCCTTGAGTTCAAACTCCAGCACCACCAAAAAAACAAAACAAAACCTGCATGGGGAACTTGACATGATCTCTTTTCTTTTCATTATACCTCCTGCTTTTAAAAGTACTGACCAGTGAAACCCTTGAATATACTTTTGAAGGACATGAAGGCACGTTTGTTTAGTGACCCCTCGTTGTGTCTTGGTACATGCTGGCATTGTAAAAACTGTGTGGGGAAGTGACTTACTGAATGCTGGTATCCAACTCGGCAGCCAGCCTTTGTTGACTGGAGAGTGAAATGACCTGGAGTCGTCCAGGCAGAGGGAGGTAACGGGTGAGGGGGTCAGAAGGGGACTGGTTTGGCCACCCTGACATGAGGGAGAAATGAGGTGCTTAGAGGCCAAGCTCTCAGTGCTGGTCTGCTGTCCTGCACACACAACCAGAAGCCAGTGTTGGCCAACTTTGATGTAACCTTGCACCGGGCAAGTGGACTGAGAGCTTAAGGGACAGACCCACAATTGTTCCCAAAGCCAACTCTGTTTTACAGACACGATGGAGACCACTGACCCTGAAGGTTGTTGAGGTGATGGTGCCAGGAAATTGGGATGGTAGCAACGAGGATAAAAGAGAGTGGAGGGAGGTTTTGAGAGCCAGGATGTGGCAATAGATTTGGGTAGAGCAGGGGAAGACGTCCCAGGTTTCAGCAGTGTGGCAGGTGACACTGTGATGAGGTGTGGGAAGCCGAGTTTGACATGACTATAGCGGAATTGGATGTCCCAGAGGAGACGTACTGTTTAATGTGGCATTGAGGTGTGGAGCCCAGGTAATACGGAGTTAGGGGTCTCTGCTGTATAAAAGGTCACTGGAGCCTTGATAACAAATGGTGTCACTCAGTGTGTGACTTGTGAAAAAAGCCAGCCTAGGACCAGCACCTAGGAAGCCAGCATGGGGAAGAAGCTGAACCTGTGAGTGGGATTGAGCAACTGTGGTCTGTGGGTAGGAGGGGACAGAGGTACAAGGCAGCCACAGCCTGAGGATGTCAGTAGGGTCACTGAGACTGTTGCTGACAAGTTCAGTCAAGTGGGCTAAGGTCTGAGCAGGTGCCCCCTTCTCTAGCAGGGTGCAGGCTACTAGGCCCTTGGTAGTAGCACACGGGGTCACAGATGGGCTTTGGAGTATGAGGAAGGTGACAGATGGGGAGCAACAGTGGAGATGCACATTGGGACCTGTGGCTGGAGGGTGGAAAGGAGCACGCGCTTCAGCCTTACAGGAAGGTGGTGTGGAAGAGAGGTAGAGGGCCAAGAGAGGGACTGGCAGAGGAGGTCAGGTGTGGCTGCCCCTGGCATGGGGATGGGAGTAAGGAGGAGTTCCTGTGACATAGGATGGCTGTGGGAAGCCTGAGGGAAACTGGCCAGGGTGTGACTGGTGGGGACAGGACAGTTGGAAATAGCCGTGGTGCATGGGTGGGGTGGCAGTGCCGGAGGGCTGAGCAGCAAGTGTGCAGTCCTCGAGCCCAGTGCCTGTGCTGATGACTTGGTGTCTTTGTGTCTAGAGAAACAGATGGCCAGGCGTCTGGAGGCAGTGACTCTGGGGACTGGATCTTCACAATCCGGGAGAAGGATCCCAAAAATCTCGAGAACGGAGCTCTTCAGCCATCGGATTTGGAAAGAAACAAGGTGTGTTTGCTCTTACACCAGTGCTCCACTTGTCAGCCGCACTTGGCAGTCAGATTATAAAAAATACTCTGGGAGTCGGTGGGTCCGTCTTTGGAGCAGCCCCTTGAGCTGACATCCAGTTCTGCCTAATTATCCAGTGATTCAGGATTTCCCTGTGCAGGCTTTTGCAAGCAAGGTGCTTGCACCTAGACCTTGCTGTGGGGCAGCCCAGCATGACTGTGCCCACACAGTGCACTCGCTGCCATCTTGTCCCTTTCTGCATGGACTCCAGATGCTGGGGTCCCAGCCACATGGGTTTTGCCTGTGACTGCAAGTGAAACTTTGTGGTCTAGTGAGAGGCATCAGGCATTCGTTGAGGCACTGCGTCAGCAGAGAGCCTTTTCTTGGGTGCGGCTGTGCAGCGCTGTCACGCTTGATGGGTCACAGCTGAAGTGTGTTGGATTATTGCCTCTGTGCATGATACCTGTTTCTGATGGTCTTTTCTTCCCCAAGGTGAAAGACATCCCAAAGAGGCCTTTTTCTCAGTGTTTATCGACAATTATTTCTCCTCTGTTTGCGGAGGTAAGCTACCTGGCTGACTTTCTGGGGAGCAGTGAGAAGGGCAGGAGCGGGTGCTAGGCTCAACTTCTGTAGGACCATTGCCAGTACAAGTTGGGGGCATTAATGTAGCCAGCAAAGGCAGGCTCAGCCAGTCTATGTTGTTTGTGCTGAGGTGCCACCATCCTTGAGCCACTTCCTGCTTGCCCACTCATGGCTCCCCTGGGAGACGCCCGGTGTGTGGCAGCCTTTGGTGACAGGCCCAGCACTATATGTTATCAGAACAAGTTCCAGCTTTGGCTGTGCAGGTTTCTGCAAGTGGGCGGGGTGCAGCCTCATCTGTGTCTCAGACAAGTTTAAGGCAATGTGAGGAGTAGGTTTTTACTTTGAAGGAGACACTGGATTCCCAAGTGCTTGTGTCTCCTGTTGGCCACCACAGTCCCCTGTGACCCTTGTGCACCGCACAGGAGCCATTACCTTACCCAGCAGGGCCACCCTGTGCTCGAGGTGAGCTGGTACACAGCCTGGCCCTCCTTCGGCCTCTCCATCAGTCCCTTATCCTGTGGCTGTTTGTATGTGTGTGTCCCCCCATTTCTACCACTACCTGGTTTAGACTGCTGTGCAAACAGTTGGTGGCAAGTCACCTCATACCTGTTTTGTGTGGTGTCCAGGCCTCTCTAGGTAGCCTTTCCACAGCAGTACCACAGGGGTCCTGGGCAGTCTGTGGAAGGAAGGAGTCACTGAGCAAGCCCTTTCCCCTCTCTCACAGCTGGCCTGTCCGATGAGGCATAGTGTGTGTGGCCAGCCATGCCTGTCAGCATCCCTCCCCAGCCCTTTCCCAGAGCCTGAATCCTTTGTGGGCTTGTCTGAGGGCCCTGCCATCCCACCTGCCAAATTCCAGGCCAGGTGGGAGGGCTGCCGTGGGAGGAGCTGAGGTCTACCTGCAATGCCAGTGCACTGGAGAATCTGAACACTGCAGGTGGAAAACAGTATGGCCCGGGGAAAGTGGGGGCTGCCCTATTGCTGTCTGGGTCCAGCCATGGCTGCTTTTCCTGGGTGTGTATTCTTCTCAGGACGTCCAGTAGACACCAGTGTGCTCTTTTCTGGGCCTTGCGTGTGCTAAGGCAAGTGCCCTGCCACATGATCTATGCCTTCTCCAGCCTTACCATTGTGCTCTTGATGGAGCCTTTCAGCTCTCTAGATGCTGGGTTGCGCTCCTGTGACCTTCCCCTGGCCACCCTAATGGGGTCCATCAGGTGATTAGGGAAGGCTGTTTATTTTGTACTGGGCTTAAGAGGTTCCTGCCTCATGTTATTCCTAGATGTCGTAGTGCCCTGGATTTTCTGAGCTAACCAAACAGTCACTTCACAGACATCCTTTCCTATTTGTACTTTCTGGGTCTTTTTTGAGACAGTGTGTATGATCCAGGCTGACCTCAAACTCTGGTTCCTCCTGCTTCAGCCTTCCAAGTGCTGTGCTACAGGCATGTGCCGCTGAGCCTCGGTGGCTGTGTTTTTATTACTACTAATACTCAGCGTTTAATGTGCATTATTTTAGATAGCTCTCATAAAAGCTACTAAGAATGGTAATTATCCCTACATGTACACATGAGCACGTGTCACTCAGCATTGCCCAGGCTGCTCACTCAGCTTAGTGCTAAGTACAGCAGGTCCAGTCCAGCCTCAGACTGTTCCTGCTTTGAGACACAGGTGTGGGGCGGGGAGGAGGGAGGTGGGTTGCAGATGACCCTCTTGGGGCTCGCACATACTGTGCTGTGAACTGATTGGCATGCTAGGCAAACACGAGACCATGTCAAGGTCATCTGTGTTGTAATCTGACAAACAGTGTTCTTGGCACCCACAGGCCCCTGCAAGGTCAGCCCTTCCCAGTTTCTCCATAGGCCCATTGGGAGCAGGAAGAAGAAGCCATTGCTTTCAGAGTGACACTGGTCTGACAGTGACAAAATGTTCACAGCACCCTGCTGAGCCAAGCTGAATGTTTTGCAAAATATTTGTAAAGATGAAATGGAGAGTCCTTTTCCAAAGGATGCCTTGGTGTGTCACCTTGGCAGGTGCTACCTGGATCCTGTCCTGGGAGGATCCTGGTTCGAGGCCAGCTCAGGCAAAAAGTTCGAGAGATCCCATCATGACCAGTAGAGCTGGGCGTGGTGGTGTCGCCTGTCATCTAAGTTACGTGGGGAGGGGTAGATAGGATTGAGGTCCCAGTCCATTCTCCCCGCAAAAACTCTAGACCCTATTTGAAAAATAACTAAAGCAAAAATGGCTGAGGTGTGGCCCTGAGTTCAAATCCCAATACTGCACCCCCCCCCCCAAAAGAGGCCAAAACCAAAAACAGCAAACCTGATACCCCATCCAAACCCAATTTAGAGAAAGTGCACAGAGAGCTGGCTGCCTCTGTTCTGGCCTGGGAGACCACAGTTCGGGCCTGGCTGTCACCCTGTATGTACACACTCAGAGTTCTCTGGTGGGGACTTAGTGACCCAGTGGCCACCAAAGCTGTTGCCCAGGCTCCTTGGGCCTAGAGTGGTGTCAGGGCTCACGTGGTCTCTCCCTGGTGAGTGATGCTGGGTGTGGACACCTGTGTCGTGCTTCCCTTCTATGTGTATTTTCAGCTGAAGGAGAAGAGCCAGGCTTGCGGAGGGAACCTGGGGTCCATAGAAGAGCTGCGGGGAGCTATCTACCTGGCCGAAGAGGCCTGCCCGGGGATCTCAGACACCATGGTGGCCCAGCTGGTGCAGCGGCTGCAGAGGTAACTGCTACACAATCTGGGGTGCTGCTGCTCTAGGAGAGCCCCAGGGTGCTTGCACCAGCCTCTGCAGGGTAAGGGTGGGAAGGCCCCTGTGGGCTGGAGAACTCAGTGTGTCACTTTGGCACTTCATTCCCTGTCTGTTGTGTTGTCTCTGGGCTGCAGGTGTAGTTGGGGAAGGGTTGTTGGTGAACTACGGAACCTACAGGAAGGAAGGTGTGGGTCTATGTAAAAGGCTAAGGAACTTGCATTTGTAGCTCTTGCCACAGAAATCCAGGGTGACGTACAAAGACCCACTTTTCATTCTCAGCCTGCTTAGCAGCCCTAATAAGCCAGAGAAGATAGCCCCCAGCCCACACCTGTCACTTCCCTGCCGGGTTTTCACCTTTGAAGCCTGGTGTCCAGATACCAGCAGCTTTGGCAGAGGAAACTCAGGACAATTGGGCAGATGGTCATGACCAGACGCCTTGCTGAAGGAGCTCCCACTCCACCGCTAGCTTTGACCACACATGCTCCAGGTTGAGGAGTAAAGGATACTGTAGCTTTTTAAAGTTTTGGATAAAAACCAAAAGCCATTCTTGGCTGCCTTCAATCTTGAGACAATCAAAGAAGCCAGGGAGCCTAATAAATCATCTCTTCCCAGCTCTCTAGATAGTGCACTAACCCACATGTTCACCCCAACACAGCCTTTTTGATTTCTCTAGCTTGGTATCATGTCATACTTCCTCTTACTGACATTTATTTCTCACTGACAAGAGCCTCACACAACTTTTACACCAGAAACTGCTGATGCTTGCTAGGATCTTGTTGGGCTTTGTTTCCTGCTTTTATAGTTAGTGTCACCTTTAGTGACATTTTTTTAAAAAAGAGATCTCACTATGTAGACCTCTCCCTCCAGGTAGCTGGGACTACAAGGTGTGTAGGACCACCCTGGCTTTGTAGTGTCTTTCAGGATCCCACCTAAACCTCCTTTTGTATTCTGAAACAAGACAGTAGAATTTTTGGAAAACAAGAAATTGTGCTCAGCCCCACCTTTGCAGCCTGGTTATTGTGGTTATTGCCATTGTTATCAGCTATCAGTTCTTTGCCTTTCAATGTTTACAGAAGCCATAAGCTTAACTCTTGCAAATTTTACTGTCAGTGACTCTTTTCTGTTGGATTTTTGAGAAAGAACTTACACATGGAAAGTGTTCATATACAGTGCATGAACAATTTTATACATTTTTGTATAGTTTCATATTGCTTATATATACATGATAAAAATTTTAATCTCTTTAATGTTGAGAATAAAAGTTTTTAAAAACTATTATAGTTGCAAAAAACCCAGGGCTGGGGGCATGACTTCAGTGGTAGAGTGCTTGCCTAGCAAGTGCAAAGGCCGTGAGTTCAACACCCAGTACTGCCCCCAAACCAGACAGATAGAATGCCTTAGAGGTGTCTTTGTGGGCAAACGTGCCTCCTTCTTTGGACGGTGCTTCTGAAATCGAGTTAGGAAGTAGATTACCCGGACTGCCTCAGTGTTTTGGGGCCAGAATGGTTTCCTGCACTGGGGTTCACACCTGCCGTGCACGTGCATCTCTGGGCTCTTCTTGTGTCATTGACTAGTACCAAGATTAATCCTAAGTACTGTTCTGCCTTAGTCACATAGTCTCTCCAGGGAGGCTGAGCACATATTTTGTGAAATGCTCTTAGTTTTGTGTTAGAACTGTGATTTCTTAACTGTTTTGAACTTTTTATGTAAAAACCTTGTTAACACTTACGAACTTTTTTTTTGATAGGACTTGACTTTCTATAAAGAACTAGGGTTTTTGAACTTTTGCATAGGGGTTGGAAAAGTGACATTTATTCACCTGATTTTTCTCTTTTTTTTTTTCCCTAGATACTCTCTAAGTGGTGGAGGGACTTCATCCCACTGAGATTCCTTTGGCCTTCGTGTTTCATTTTTCCTTTTCTCTTCATCCTCCTTTTTAAAAGTCAACGAGAGCCTTTGCGACCGCTGAAGAGGCGCCACTGAGGGGCCATCCCCAAAGCTGCGGGCGCCTGTCCTGGGACACAGTCCTCTGTGCCACAGCCAGATGAAGTCTCTCAGGTGGGGTGGGAAGGGTCTGCTCCTTTCAGGATTATTTTATTTTTTTATTGTTTTTAATTGTCACCATAGTGCACATATTCAAGGAAAGTATCTTTAGAAAAAAAACACAAGCCCTGAAGTGTATATCTGGGATTACGGTAAGGCAACTGAAGACGTGAAACCTCAGGTATCCTGCTTTACGTCGATGGCCCCCGGGGGACGGAGGCTTGCTCTGGCGGACCGGTGTAGATTTGTATATAGCGTTCTTTTTACAGAAACCTTTTTGGCGTGCAGAAGGAATCACTGTGTACACATTGGCCACGTGCTTCTGTAGATACTGCCCGTGGAGTAAATATTTGACAGGCCATAACTGAGTCTATTACCTTGCCTTTATTACGTGTAAATTTTTGGATTGTGTGACCAGTGATTTGGGTTTTATTTTGTATTTGCAGGGTTTGCCATTAATAATAATTAATGCCCCTCTGTGGAACACTCCTATTTGTACCTCAACAAATGCAAATTTTCCTCTTGTTTTCCCTACACCCCTCTTGGTACACTTAGAAGTTAATTTCCTTTTTCATTGATGGTACTATTTCTTAGTGTTTTAAATTGGAACATATCTTGTCTCAATGAAGCTTTAAATTATTTTAAGTTTCTCCCAGATGAAGCACTCTCGTCTAACCTTTGGAATCGTGCCACTGCTGGTCTGCGCCAGGTGTACCGTTCTTTCCAACACGATTGTCACCTTGTAGTGGAATCTGCGTATCATCTTTCCCACTGAAAGTGTCTGAATGCTTACACGAATAAATTTTATAACACACTTATTTTGCATACTCTTCTTGAAACATGACTGCGCGGTGGAAGGGCACGTGCTCTGTGTGTGGGTGTGGGGGGGGGTGTGTGTGCACGCGTGCGCTGAGGTATCTTCAGAAGATTTCAGGAAAAGGACCCGCATGTTAGATTGCTGAATGTCCAGGTCAGCTCCCTATGCAACTTGTGTGGAGGGTAATAGAGAAGGTGTGGTTGGATACTGATTTGTGAAATTGCTGTGCCTCTCGCCAGAGACCTTAACAAGTGCTTTTCGTTCTTATAAGGGAGCCATGTCTGCTGGTGCTGCCAACCAGGGGGTCTGTTTTTCTTGGTTTGCTGCAGGGCATTGCTTGGCAGGGAGGGAATTCTCTGGGTTCTCGGGTTGGGAAAAGGGTTGGTATAGCAATTCTTGACTAATTCAAGTATAGCATTCTTTTATATTTGTTGATGCTATTTATTGTTACCTTTGTTGAAATACTGCGTCTTAAGGAGGAAGACAGGAGTTTTGGAAGCAGACGTCCCTGGGCCAACTTTGTCGGCTCAGGTCTCTGCTGGTGCAGTGGCGTGGACACTACAGGGAGAGGGGCGGGCCTGAGCTAAAAGGTGGTCAGGGTGGGTGGCTTTTGTTTTGGTTCATTAAACAGAGTCTATTCTTTTAAGATTGTAGAATCAGACCAGAAGTAGTGTGGGGTTGGACTTTTTCTAGAAAGGAGATACATCTTGGTTAGAGAAATAGAACAGGATTGCTCGTTGTTCTTGCATGTGCTATTCTGCAGCAAGAATGTTACCTTGAACAATAAAACTTGAGAGCATTTTGTGTTTCTAGAGTATTCTGTGTCAGCACTCTTTTTCTGTATGAGGCATAAGCCAAAGGTCAGTTTTCTCCATTGTAGGAGAAAGGAACTCAGAGAGATGGATCTGTGTGTGTGTGTTTCATTTTAGGAGCATCACTGAGAAAGCAGGCTTTTCTGATTGATGTAGCTCTTCAAGTGTATGAATGGACAGTGACATCACTTTGGATGTTGAACCAGTCTTTTTTTTTTTTTCTTCACTGCTGGGGATTGAACCCAGGGCTTTGCACATGCGAGGCAAATACTGCACCACTGAGCTATATCCCCAGCCTTGAAGCCAGTCTTAAACACTAGTGATCATAGTTACACTGCTAGACTGGATCCTAAGCATATTGGCATGAATGGTTAACAGCCTCTTGGCCATCACTAGGCTATAATTGCAACTCCATCTCCTGGTAAAAGCAACAAATGACTCTGAGTTTACCAGAAGCTTCCTTGGGGAGGGGTGGATCACCCCTGTGTAGTGTCTTCTGGGTTGTTATTTTTTGTAGATACACAAAATCTGTTGAAATTGTTTCTGATGGCATCTTTTTTAGCCAAGCAAGCTGGCATTTGAGCATTTAGTCCTTAATGAAAAGCAAGTCCAGGTCCCAGGGCTGCAAACTGACACATGCCATGACAGTGCAGGCTGCTGCTGGTCTTCACAGAATCCGTGAGCTCAGAAGTTGAGAACAACTTACTATCACCTGGAAGCCTCACAGTGCCAAACCTGAGTAGTTAAAAGCTCATTGGTCCACAGCCTTGACCATACTTACACAACTAGGGCAGGAAACTCAGCACAGCACCCTGAGGTGGTAGCTGAGTGCTGTTAGCTCTGATTTATGCCTTGTTGAAAGTCACAGTTCTGTGTTCCTGTTGGCTACCAGCAGCTGGCTTTTATTTTCTTGATGGAACCAGTTCTGCTTGCCTTTCAAAGCCAATAGTTTTGTTCTGAGTTGCCCTTGTCAAGTGTCTGGTTTAGTTCTTTATATAGCATTTGTTCCTTTCCTTTGACAAAACATGTGTGATCAGTTTATAAGCATTTTTATATTCCCTTCCTTGAAAAACCATGGCTTCTGTACCTCTGCTGCAGAATACAGCAGTGAGGGCAGCGAGCACTCTAGGGCGTGTTCCTGAGTACTCTGCTGTCATGCAAGGGTCAGTAAAGCTCTCAGAAAATGACTTTTTGTAATTTTGTGTCTTGGGTGTAGAGGGTGTCTGAAATGCTGCCTCTTGCTGATGACAGCTTGGGAGTGGACTCAGTTGTCCATGTTATTTTAGCTTTGTCTCCCATGTGGCCACAGAGGAAGAGGTGCTGGTCACAGGTGTCCAGCAGATGGTTTGAAACCATTCACAAGCATGGAGGTAGGGGACCACTTTGGTCCCATGTCTTCCCTTTTGGAGGAAGCATTTTCCTGATGCTATTCTGCTTGCTGGATGCTTGGTGGCTGGGGTCCCCAGTGTTCACCCTGACCCTTTGTCAGGGGCTTCTTGCTATGTGGCGGATGTAGATGGTATCTCCATACCTTCTCACCTGGGTGTTTAACTTCCTGCCCAAGCCTCTATGTGTCCTCTAGAATGTTCTGTCTCCCTGACACCACGCTCTCTGTCCTTGCCCTTTCACATCCCCCAGCACCTCCTCTGCAGAGACAATGCTGTAAGCCCAGTCCTGTTCTGCAACACGCGCGTGCGCACACACATGCACACACAAGCATGCAGACGTGTGAGCGTGCACACATGCACACGTGATTGATGGAAATAAAGACAAGAGGCAAGGTGGGTTGTTTTGCCTTTAAAATTTCGATATGCTGGATTGTGGCGTGAGGTATTTTTATTCCCTTTTGTTTGTTAGTATTTAAAACCGTCTGGTACATATTGTAAGGCAAATGATTAACACGTCTCAAGCTCCTCGTCTATTTGTAAATCGTGGACAGCAGCCACAGGCCCGTGACGTTGGCGGATCCCTGTTTCGCAGGTAAGTAGGCCTTCCCCGCTGGGTGTGGGGTGCTGGGAAAGGACTGTGCTGAGGTGGTCAACGTCACTAGGAAGGGTTCAAGACACTAAGGGAATAGCAGTCACCCAGTCACCACAGAGAACAGGCAAACGCTTTACCACCCGGGCCCAAGTGGAGGCTGGCAGCCAGGTTCCCGGTGGAGTCTTTCCAGGATGTACACTGTCCTCCTGACAGCACCCATGCCTGGGGGAGTGAGTATAAAACCAGAAAGAATTGTTTCGACGACAGGCACAATAGATACTACTAAAGAATGTGCAGGTTCAAACCATGGTGGAGGAAGTGGGCCTAACCATGGGTCCCGGACTACGTACCATTACTGTACAGCGCTTCTGCATCCACGACGCTCACACAACAAAGCACAAATGGCCCCAGTCAATGACGTACAAGTTCTCATGCTTGTGAAACAGACAGCAAAACACCACGGGTTAATACATCCCCACTGTGTACACCACTCAGTACAGTGACAGTCCAGGTATTGCACTGGATTCCTGTTTCTCCTAACAGAAAACAACCCCGCCACAGTCTGTAAAGAGTAATCACGAACAATTTGGTCAGCTTCCGCCAAGAAGGTTTGGTGATGAATGTCTCACTGGAGCAAAGCCCCTTGGCAGAATGGAGTGCACTGCAAATTGCTTATTAGTCAAGGAAGGTGAGTCTACCAACTTGCTATTGTTATAAAAGTAGAAAGACTGAAAAAAATCTGAAAACGGTCTCATTTGCTTAAGACTGCACTTGCGCTGTATACATCAGAAACTGGAAAGTCTGCTTGTGTTTTAAACAGCAGCCTGCACGAAAATAAAGTCCTTTTCTAAGAAAAAGAAGAGCACTTGCCCTGTCTTCAGGTGAACAGCTGTGTGTGCACTGTGCTCGGGCTGCAGCTGGAGGGGAGGGGAGACTGTCATTTAGCACTCGTGATGACAGTGGCTCAATACTGGCACAAGCTGAAGAGCCCCAAGGATTGGGGCACATGAGTCCCCAGTTCTGGAGGTGGGAACCGTCCGTTCCAAGGAGATTAACAGTGGAGGAGACGAGGGAGACGGTGAGGGATGCTGCAGACCACTTGTTCAGACAGGTGTGAATTTTGCTAGGCTTCATTAGACAGGTTGCTGTCTTCCAGGAAAGCAGCCACAGCTGGAGTCTTAACGGGTACATCCAGCTATCAATACACATGAGCTTCTTTGTGACTCAAGACGTGGGCCCGAGAGGCTGAGCTGGTGGCACTTCGGATCACTTCCATCCACCTGGAACAAGAAAGGGACTAAGCACCTGGGCTACTTCTTATAAACACATCTCTGATTAGTCTTTTCTTATATCGCTTCATGTCCTTTGGCCATTACAGAAGAACACCAGGTGATGGAAGACGACCTGGTTTGTAAGCAGCCACTTCAGCAGAAGAGTTCATTAAAAAAACTAACACTCTAGCAGAGGGTTCCTCCAAAACACAGTTTGAGAACCATGGGCCTGGGTGCCATAGGGAGCTGGAATTATTCAAGGTAGCACACTTGGAGCAGTTCAGGGCAGGTGGCTGTGTGGATCTCTACTTCCTAATGCTGCCTTGTGTTTTTTTTTTTTTTTTTGGCAGTACTGGGGCCTACACCTTGAGCCATTCCACCAGCCTTTTTATGTTTTGGGATTTTTTCAAGATAGGGTCTTGTGAACTATTTGCCCCGGGCTGGCTTTGAACCATGATCCTCTCGATCTCTGCCTTTCTCATTAGCTAGGAATACAGGCGTGAGCCACTGGTGCTAGGGACAGTGCACAGTGATAGGTCCTATCCTGCTCCGTTTTATGTGTTTGTGGTAACACCACTGAGACCATGGGACACATTTGCCCGAGTCTGGAGATGTAACTAGTCATTACAACCAGAAGTACTACTACTACTGGTTTCTCTGAGTTCAGGGATGCTTGTGAATATCGTACAAGGCCAGGACAACCTCCCCTACCCTGAGTGACCTGGTGCGAAATATCAGTAGTGCAGGGAAGGTCAAGCTTTCTACCTTCACGGAAGATTCTACACCCCCTGGCTCCGAGGACCTCGCCACTGCAAGGCTGCATTATTCTTACTCATTTGCAGCCCTTGATCCAGGCGTTCCAGTCCAGGATGGAGTGAGTCAGAGGTACTATTCTCTTGGGTCATTTTAAGCAGCATTGCGCAGGAACTACTGACCCTTTGGTTTTGTGTACATCTTAAACCGGTTTTAAGCATCGCTATTTCCACGGATTTCTTGGGCCCGTGCACAGTTCAGCATTGGCCCATTGACTTAGGAATGCTTTGGGGGTTCAGTGCCAGTGAGGGAACAAGTTACCGCCCTGCCCAACGGCATGGCTAGGGGCACAGGTGCTCCCTAGATGAGCCAGGGCATGTGGGCCCCGACTGGTAACTGTTAACCCAAAGACCAAGGACCCCAAACCCCCAGGTGGTGGTTCCGTAGTGACAGCTGCCTTGGTGCTCTGTTGTGGGATGCCATTCTCAAGAGGCCCCAAATGTCTGCTTGAAATGTGAATTTCAGGAATAGTTTCAAGCCAGAGCTCACATCCAACAGCCTGGCTTTTTCCTATTTTACTGATTTTTTTTTTTTTTTTTGGAGACCACTGCACTTAGTAGTAGCACGAATAAAGGGGGCCTGGAAAGAACTGAGCTCTTGAGCGTGGACCTGTGACCTGAAACCACCTTTCGCTGTGGCCTGTCTGGAAGCCACCAAGCTGGACACAGAAGGTTTGGCATGTTCTGCGATGGAGATGCTAGGCCTGGGCAGGTGGAGGCTGCAGGCCTAAGCTCCCTCCTCCCTGCTGACACACGGGCCCTGGAGCTTTGCTCTCTCGTTTGATGCATACCACGTACATTCAAGAGCACCTGCACAGGCTAAGGACTGATTGATGTTATCGCCCAGGGAGCCAGGACTCCACTTGTCTCAAGGAGTGTGGAGGTCTGAGGCAGAGGGACACAGGTCTGACCCAGCAGTTGGCAGGGCAGGGAGTAAATGCCCAGGTCCACAGGGAGCCTCAGTCCCGCGCTCACCGGGGAGGAGCCCTGGTAGGAAGTGAGTGTCCTGCAGATGGCCGGTATGGAGGAGGATACCTACCTGTCAAAAGTGTATTCGCTTTCGGCCCTGAAGTAGTACACGTGGGACTTGAAATGCAGCTTGAACACGTAGTCCTTGTGGATGTTCTCGGACTCCGAGGGAATGGTGAGTGAGTATCCCAGCAGAGGCAGGCTGGCCAGTGGGTGACTGTCCTGGAAAGAGGTGCCGAGAAGGCGTTGGGGACGCAGCTGCTGCTCTGGGCCTGGCTGCAGCCCCTTACCCAGGCAGCTCCACTCAAGAGCTCGGGGTCTTGAAGGGGATGGAGCAGCAGCAGCGGGTAGTGCTTTTCAGGCCTATTCATCAACAAATAGGCCTTCACTTAGAGCCGAGGGCCTCTGATGGATGTGGTCTTCCCCAGCAGATCCAGAGCAGGATCCCATAACGCCTGCTTCCCCATGCCTGGCAAGCGGCTCAGCTGGACTAGCTCAGGGCACAGTCCTTTCAGGGTGTGGGAGTGTGTTGCTGCATGGAGGCCCTGAGGCTCTGCCACTCTACCTTGGGCAGGTGCATTTCCTTAGGCAGCCCTGTTCCCAAAGCCCCAAGACCACTACCTGTCCCCACGTGGGCATTACCTGGTGTGATTTGTAGAAGAACAGGCAGAAATTTGTGAACACCACCCACAGCTTTTGCCACCCGTTGCTGTTTTTGAATTTCCTCAGCAGGTTCCCAGACAGCTGGTTCTGAAAGGCAAGTGGACGGGTCAGGGGCACAGATGGGTGCCCATACCAGTGAGAGGCACAGGTCGTGGCAGCCACAGCCCTCTCAGAGTCCAGCTAGCCTGTGTGGTGTGGTCCTTCAAAGTGCCCTGGGACTAACAGGCTTCCTGTGACTGGGGCACGTAATGCCTCCGAGCCCCTCCACTCCCGGGCATGCCAAGAATACTTGGGTTGTAGGAACCTGACTTTAGTTTTCATTTTCAGTTAATCCATTTTGCATTACTGGGGACTAAATCTGGGACCTTGTGCACGTTAGGCCTTTGTGCCTGGTTTGATGAGCTCTTGTTACCTGTTAGGGTTAAGCCCTGTCCATCCAAGAGCAATGCTGCCACCGTCACCTGCAGTACCTCAGGATGTGACCTTACTTGTAAGCAGGTGGTCACAGGTATAGTTAGTTAAAATGAGGTCATACTGGGGTGGGTAAGGTGGGCCCTTCATTCTAATGTGAATGATGTCCTTAGGAGAGGAGGGACACGCGAATAGGACACCATATGACAATGGCAGAGGATGGAGTGACAGAACACAGTCAACACCAGGGACCACCAGCACCAAGAATGAAAAAGCAGAGAAAGGTCCCTACAGGCTTCAGGGGGAGACTTCTGGCTTCAAGAGAGAATGAGTTTCAAAGCTACCAGTTTGGAGGTCCTTTTCCTAGAAAACATCCCTCCTTGTGACAGGAAGAATTAAAGGAAGTCTGACTGCCACCTAGTGGGCCAGGCCGGAAGTCTCTCCTCCCCTAGGCTCAGGCTTGTGTACAGTGCTGTCCTGCCCTGCTCTTCCCTGGGCACTGGCATTGCAGGTCCCTCAGTCCTTATCCTTGTCTTATTCTGAGGCCTGTGGTGTGGACAGTGTCTGGAGCTTGGATGAGACCAGAGGCAGCTGCTGACAAAAGAGCATTGGGGACAGGGGTTGGCTTCAGAGGACATTGAGGAGGCCCGTCTGCCTTCCAGACAAACCCTTTGTCAAGGGACATTGCTAGGGGAGACTCAGGTGAGAAACAAGTGGTGGTGATAGTTACACAACCTGGTGAAGTTAACTAATGCCACTCCACTGCCACTTAAAAATGGTTACCTTGGAATCACCAGTGCCCCATCTCCCCCTGAAACTCATTTTACTTTTGGTACTGCGGCTTGAACTCAGGGCCTACACCTTGAGTCGCTCCACCAGTCCTTCCTTTTGTGAAGGGTTTTTTTCGAGATAGGGTCTCGTGAACTATTTGCCCAGGCTGGCTTCGAACCACAATCCTCCTGATCTCTGCCTCCTAAGTAGCTAGGGTTACAGGTGTAAGTCACTGGTGCCCAGCAATTTTTATCACAATGTTTAAAACCAACAAAAAACTTACTCCATCCTTTTAAGTACCAATAAACATAAAGCCCCTTAGGCTAGAAGTTGAGCTAGGAAATGTTCTGAGGGTCTCCAGCCTCCCGCCACTGAGCCTGACGGAGGAGGCAGAAGGGAACAGTGAATGTGGTGAGCGGGGTGTAGGAGAGGACGAAGTGCATCTCTAGGCACTGCAGCTTGGGGGAATGAAGGAGACCCTGCAGCCAGCATGGAGAGGGTGCCCAGGCCCAGCCAGCACCTCCAACCATCCACCCCCTGGTAGAAAGAGACAAGGAAGTGCAGAGCTGCTGGTACCCAGAGCTGGGCACTCACTACCTGTGTGGCATCCCACTGTTGCACACCTTGGAGGCCAGAAGAACCTCTCAGAGGCACACGGGGACAGATGCTGCATGGACCTGTCCATTCTAAGCGCAGAATTTCCTGAGGCAGGTTGTTAAGCATTCCTACAAGCTCTGACTAACGCCTGGCACCCTCAGACCAGATGTCTTTTTAGAAATGAAGCCTGTGGCCTGGCCTTGCTTCCCACCATCCTAGAGGCCTCCCTTGTCACCAGCTCCGATGAAACTCTTCACTGCCCTGCTCCTGTCACTCACCCCTATGCCTCTGTGGATGACTCAGCGCTGCCTCCAACTGCTCAGGGCTCCACTTGTGTCCAGAACCACCAGCGCCCCATCTCCCCCAGCTGCTCACGGGCCTCCCCGCTCTGTCTCAGCCCCTGTTTGAGCTGACCATGCGGCTCAAAAAGGACACATTCCTTTTTGCAAAGCCCCAGGACCTGTGCAGGTGGCCTCTCTTGGAAACAGGGCTCTAATCCAACAGGAGCCCTTCTCTCTGAATACCCAGGGAGAAGGCCACAAGACCAAGGATGCAGACCAGGTGCTGTGCTGTGTCTCCAACCTTAAAGGACAAGGTTCATCTTTTGTCTCAAAGCCCCTGCTGGGCTGTGGAGTGGCTCGAGTGGTGGAGCGCCTGCCTAGCAAGGATGAGGATGAAGCCCTGAGTTCAAACCCCAGTACCACCAAAAAAAAAAAGCTCCTGCTGGCTCTGTGTAACTCCGCCGTCCCTCTGCCAGTACCCTCGTGTTTGAAGGTGGCCCACAGCCTTTCTGGTGAAGCCCCAGACATCCCCCATACTTTTTTCTACATGCATGAGTCATACAGGAGACAAGATGGGGGTGGAGGTGGGGCACAGGATGGACAAAGGGGCCAGCAAGTCAGGAGGAAAGGGAGCTGCCCCTCCTGGGGTCATGCCAGGGCTTGAAGCTTATCGGCCAGCTAGGGAGCATTTGTCACCTGCCACATATGAACCAGCCCACTTCGGATGCTAGGCTGAAGTATGTGCTTGGGAGGGGTTCCTGGCAAGGAAGGGACACCGTAGTAACATGCCAGGCAGTCACCCATGTTTTTTTTCCCTTTTGGAACAGCATCTCATGTAGCCTAGGCTGGCCTCAAACTCCCTGTCCTCTTGCCTCTGCCTCCTGAGCACTGGGATTACAGTCATGCACCACCATGCTCAGCTTTAATTCCACAGCTTTTAACCTGAATCACTTGCCACGTCAAACTCTTACTACCAACAAGCACTTTCAAGCTTTCAACCCAGGGTGGGCAAGCTTCTCAAAGGGCTGGATAATATGGGAGGCTTTGCCAGCAACTGAGAGGCCAAAGTCAGAGCTATTGCATAACAACCATTTTAAAATGTGCAACCCCCCTCAGCTTACAGGCTGTAAGCACTCAGATGGTAGGCTGGATTTGGCCTGCGGGTGAGCTTGGCTCTGCACCTCCCCGACTGTATAGATAAGTCTACACAACTGTCTGTAGGCCTCAGAAGGTGTCTCTGGACTGCCTGGATCCAGACTGGCATTTGCTGCATACTTAAATGGCTCAGGAATCTCAAAGGACTTAGTAGAAGCTCCACGCCTGCAACAGTGGTGGCACTGAAGTGAACTGTTACACGTTGCAGGTTGGTAGGAAGAGAGGCCTAGACAGTTTCTCCCTGGCAGCTTGGTATTCCCACTGGCTTCTCTGGAACGGACAGTGGGTCTGTCCCATAAGGCACCTCGTCTCCCCCCAGATGAGGACCCCTTTCCACTGTTCCCTGGAGGGCTCTGCACACAGGCCCAGTGGAAGAATACCACGGAAGCAGAGAGCTGAGCAAGCAGCCTGTCAGTAGGCAGGGGAAATACGAAGGTCAGGCCCACCCCAGGAGTCCCATGTGACAGAGCCCACCCTGGGGCTGTGTGTGTGCGTGGTGGTGGGGTATGGGCAGGGCCTGGTTTCCTTGAGGCCTTCAGAACACTAACTGCAGCAGGAAGCTGGATGGGGCAAATCCGTAGAACTGTGAAGATCACTTCGAGTCATTTCGAGGGTCCCCAGGGATCATCCATTAAGAAATGTTGGCATATTTCCAATCCTGTTGGATCAAAGAGCCAACGAACTATTGCCCTTGGCTCAGTCTTTCATGTGACACTGTGTGTCCAGGCATATGTGGGAATCAGAACTTTATACACTCCCTACCACAGAAGACCCCTGCAGTGAGACCCCCCCCACAGTGGGGGTTGGGGCAGCAGCCAGAGGCAGACACACTGGCGGTTCTGTAATGGGACGCCAGCATTCACACGACCAGAGAGGACTAGATAGCCTTGTGCTGGCCAGGGCAGGAGCTGTAGGAAACGGTAGGTAGAGAAAGCTTTCCTGTTCTCAAAACTCTCTGGGCTTAGAAAGTTCTGTAAAGTAGCTGTGGACCTGGACTGCAGAAGGCTTGGGGAGTGGGGTCTGTGACCCAGGGGGAGCCCCATCATTAAAGCCAACTATCAGGGTGAGCCCCAGAGCCCACCTGGAGAGGCCTGCCCTGCACTCTTCCCCCTGGGATTTTCGTGAAGTGGAACCCGCCCACCTTCAGGCCTTAGTGCCCGCTCGTGCATCTGATTCCCTGTGACCTCTCCAGGTCATGACCGCGTGCCTCGAGCTGCCCATTTCTACCCACGAACACTCTGCCCTATGGCTAGCTCCACAGGGCAGAGAATACGGTGGAGAACAAAGATGGAGTGGAGATGCCAGTGCTCACTCTGCCTCACCTGCAGGGAGGACCAGGCCAGAGGCCGAGCACGGACTCCACCTGGGCAAGCTCACGGTGCGGGTGAGAGCTGCACCGTGCTTCCCGCACTCGTGCCATACCTCCACAGCGATGCTGAAGTCCACCATGGAGACGCTGGTGTTACGGTGCCAGCACACGTGCACCATGGTGTTGCCGCGGTGAGGGGCCTGGCGCTCTAGCGAGGTGCGCGAGGCACTCAGGTCATCTTCAGACTCCTGATCAGCTGCTGTGGCGTCATCAGGGGACTCTGCAGGATGTGACAAAACGCAACACTCACCTCTCTCCTTTCCAGGGGGAGAAGCCTGTCCCAATGCCCTCAGCACTGGAAGGTGGGGGGACTCAGTGGCCTTCCCTAAGCAGGATTCTAACAAGGCCTCTATTGAGCCCCCTCCTCCTACCACCCAGTCCGTCCTGTGGAGGGCTCTGCACACAGGCTCGTGGAAGGGTGACATGGGAACAGAGAGCTGAGCAAGTGACCTGTCAGCGGGAAGGGGAAATACACACACCTGACCCGAAGGCTGGGCCCACCCTGGAGCTCCATGTGGCATAGCCTCAGGGGACTCCCTCCCCTCTCCACAGACAGTTGAGGACAGTGCTCACTGGGACAGCTGACTTCCCTGTTCCCTCACTCTCTTCTCAGGGGTCCGCTTTTGGAAAACAGGGAGTTTCTTGATTTTCAGCATTGAATACAAACGTGGGCCCGGATGTGGTGGCTCACGCCTGTAATCCTAGTTACTCAGGAAGTACAGAGTGGGAGGACTGCAGTTTAAGGCCAACCCAGGCAAAAAGTCAGCCAATAAAAAGCTGGGTGTGATGGATGATGCCTGCTGTCCCCTCTACAGAGGATGCTAGGCCTGCCCAGGTATAAAGTGAGACCCTGTCTCAAAAATAACGATGCAAAAAGGGCTGGGATATGGCTCAAGTGGTAGTGCACCTGCCTCGCACGTGAAAGCCCCAGAGCTCAAACCCCAGAACTACCAAGAAAACCCCAAATGTGGAGTATGGCTAGGAGGCCTACCCGCCAAGGAACTGACTCACTGTGAGTGGAGTATTTGCTCCCCACCACTCACTGTTGTCAGGGGGGCTGCTGGCAAGGAACTCGGGCGTGGGACCACTGCTTTTCTCGGCCAGGTCAACAGCCATCTGGATATCCTCGACCCACTTCTCCATCTCCAGCCGAGAACTGAAGACAGATATGGGCGTCAGCTCTTCCAGGCACAGCAGGCCAAAGGTAAACGTGCAAGAGGTCAGGTTTGGAGTTACCTGGCGGCCACGACAATGGACTGCCGCTGGCCTCGGAGGTCAGGCAGTGGGGCACCCCCCACTCGTCCTCGCTCTTCTCGATCTGTGGGACAAGAGTTGACTGTTATTGGTAATTGGCAAGCGAGGCACTCAGAGTGTCCGCGGACAGTCACTGGACTGGTGATCGGGCCACCAAAGGCCAGAACCAGAGCAGGGCCCAGAGCCCCTGCAGAGGGGGAAGGGGCTCCAAGACAAAATTTGAAAGAAAGGCCTTTCTTCACCTCCCCTGGCGGGTGGTACAAGCAAGGGTCATACCTGTAGAGGCTGCAGGGCAGGGGGGGCGGGGGGGGGGTCTGCCCACCTTGGCGGTGGACAAGCTGGTCTGCCTCCAGCTGAGTGGAGCCTTGTGTGGTGAGGCCCATCCTCCAGGGCCCTTGGGGCCAGCCACAGGGCAGGGGAGGCAAATTCACACCACATGGTCTAAGTGAACTTGTCTCTTACTTGGTTCTAGAGGGAATATTCTCGATGGCCCACGTGCAGAAGGTCAGGGTCCAGGCCTATTCTCTGACGGGAAGGAGCTGGAGGGTCTGAGCCCAGATGGCACCGCGCCTCTCGCACACCCTGTCCAGTCTCACCCCTGCCCTCCTCAGCACCAGCGGCTCTGGTTCCCTCCCGCCGGGCCTGCAGGCAGCTCCCGGGGATGGTCCATTTCCTGCCCACGCTGCACTCACCGTCATGCCGTAGAGAGGGAGCTGCCCATGGACTTTGAACTGATTTGAGGCCGTCAGCCCCCGGCTGGTGTACAGCAAGACATCATTGAACTAGAGGAACAAGCAGAAAGGTGGTGCGCTGTCGGTGTGCTTTTCCCAAACTCCTCTTATAACCTAGTGACCTTGGCCAGTGCTGCCTGAGTGCTTGGGTGGCCGAGGCTCAGCCTTGTGACCCTCCCTTGCCAAGGGGCAACAGGGTCCCAGGACCATGGAGACAACGAAGAGCTGGCACCACTTACCAGGAAGAACATGCGCTGCTGAAGGCCCTTCCCCGAGAGCTTGCTGAGGCTGCCCAGGCGGATGAACTCCTGCGGACACAGAGCCAGGTTCACCAAGAGCTCATGCCTGGGTGCTGGCCTCCTCCACAGGCCAGGCCCCATGACAGTTACAGGGCTCAGCGACCATATGCTGCGTGCTGATTGAGTCCCAGGTGCTGCTAAGCCTTCACTAGCCTCGTCTCCCTCCTTCCCAGGAGCCCCGTCAGCTCCACCTCCCCGCACAGGGACCCCAGGCTCAGCTTAGCAGGAAGTTGTATCCGTGTGTGCAGGTTGCTGGGTTCACACTCCCAGCCTTTCTGGGGACAAGGATAATACTCTTTGTCTCCAGGATCCCCATGTTTCCCACCAAGAGGGAGATGACAAGGACCCCAGCCAGTTTCCAGAAGCGAAGTGGCAGTCAGGGAGCTGGCAGGATTTAGTCCATGACCTACCACTCTGGCCCTTAGAAACCAGCAGCTGTGTCAACAGAAAAGAGCAAGAAACCAATGGGATGAGAAACCCTGCATCCTAAACGACACTTTCCTGCAGACTCCAAGTTCCCGACAGTGGAAATCCAATGGGGTCTCACTGTGTTGCTCTGATCCTGGGCTCAAGAAATCGTCCCACTCAGCTTCTTGAGTAGCTGGGACTACAGGCACTCACTAGTGTCCTGTCAACCACCATTTTTCCACTGGGGTAAAATGCACAAAATACCTACCATTTGTGACCATGGGCTCACTGTCAGTGTTGCTCGATCATCACTACAGTCTCCATCCAAAACTCGCTCCCTCTCGGGGTCTCTCATCCCCTCACCCCATTTCACTCAGAGTTCACTTGGAACAGAGGAAGCAGCTTGGTGAGCCAAAGCCCACACCAGAGGAATGGCTCTGAAGTTGGTAACGAAACACCAGTTCCAACTTTGCCTCTATAAATAATAACAACCTCCCTCTGCTGGCACATGGGATGTGTGTGACACACAGGTAAGCTCCACACAGGAGTCCGAAGTTCAATGTTATTATTCCCATTTTCAGACGAGGAAACTGAGGCACAAAATGATTACCTGATCAAGCTGTGTGCCAGGGCCCACAGCTGAGAAGTGCCTACGCTGTGAATGGTGGAGCACGCAGAGGGGAAGCAGCCACGTTCAGTCTTGCTTTTGAGGGAGGGGATATGGCCCCATGTGACAAAGGGAAGGGAAGTGCCATTCAGCACTGGTACAGCCACAGTTTGAACCCACAGCTGCCCACTCCAATCCACGTTCCTCACTGCACATGGAAACCATTTTCTCACAGTGGGAAATTCTTTATAAGTGGTTCTGTGCACCACTTATGCTAAATATTTTACAATGTTCAAAGTGAAGAGAAAATTCCATCATCCCACTGGGCTTCCCTGAGAGCTCCACGTGGATGGGTAAAAGAGGCTGCTATGTGTGGAGGCCCAGCATGATTTTCTCACCAGCACACCTGTCACACCTTGCTTTCCAGTCAGCTTTGTGACTAGGCTTCCTGAGGGACATTCTCAAGCATTCCCTCGTGGGCTCTGGGTCACGGATTTGAAATTGCCTGACTTTCTGGATCGATGTCTGCAGGTTAAGGCAGGCAGGCAGCAGGCCAGAAGCTAAATTTCTCGACTGAACCTGCCTGGCGCAAGGTATGGAAAGGGGCGGCCAGAGCACCAAAGATCCCATAGAGAGTTCTGGTGAGATGGGGCGACTGAATCTTTCTTTGTTTTCCTGTACTGGGCTTCGAACTCAGGGCCTTTGTGCTTACTAGGCAGTTGCTGAATCACACTCCCTGCCCCCTTTTTGGCTGTATTTATTTTCAGACAGGGTCTCAGGGTTTTACCTTGGCTGGTCTCCAACCTTGATCTTCCCATTCTGTGCCTCCAAGTAGTTGGGATTACAGGCTCATCCACGTTACCTGGCCTGACTAATCATTTTGACTCCTGGTTGATGACTGCTTCTTAGGAAGGGAATGAGGAAAAAGGCAGGCTTTTTGCTATCTACTTTGTTCCCACAGCTGGGAGGGGTGCTTTGTGTGATGGGAGCCCTGCTGACTGTGAATGAGCTGATTCTGAGGAGAAGTGCTGGGGAGCTGAAGGTTAATAATACAAATTAACTTGCATCACTCCAGAATTGGTTCAAATGTTATTTTGATTCAGAAAATTATGTCTAGAAAATTGGCTCTTTAAAAATACTTTTCATGCTTGCATGGGACTTTATAGTAGACTTTCATACACTAACAACCTTTCTAGTCTCATTTCACCATTTTACTTAATTCTCTTATTAATTGTTTTTGAAAAGGGTCTCACTATGTAGCCCAGACTGACCTTGAACTTGGGATCCTCCCAAGTGCTGGATCACAGGCATGCATCACTATGCCTATTTTATTCCTTCTTTATCTTCTATTTACATAAACTTGAAAAAATTCAGCTCTCTTAAATCGTCCCTGAATGTGGTAATAATGAGTAAGTCAGGAAATCAACCCATCAGAAGGAAGTAAAATGAGGCCAGGCCATGACTTCCTCTCCTCCAGCACGCTGGCTCTGAACGGCATTGTAATGTACCAGCCATTTCTCCCGGGTGGCACGAGGAGGAGTTTTAACCTGGATCCGTCCATCGTGGGAAGGCTCCGGTTTTAGTCCCAGAAACACCACCTTTGGCTCTTCCTCAGCCCCTTCCTGCTTACCCTTCCTGGGGTCACAAGATTGTCGATGCCGATCAAGTCTTTCTTGAGCTCGTGCAACTTCTGGAAATTCTCCATCTTGATCATCGTACCGTGCATCTGTGCCACCATCTCTGTGATCTCTGCCAACGCAGCTGGCAAAGCAAACACAAGTACCACAGTTAGTGGCAGACGGGGTCTTGTCCCTGCTGGTCTCAGCCTCAGAAGCTGTCCTTCTGGGGAAGACGTGATATTAAAAAGTGCTTGATAATAAAAACTGAGTGCTTCACTTGAGGCATTGCCCTCCCCATGGCACCTCGAGAGTGAGGAGGACCCACCCGTGTGCCTATGTGGTGTGACAGCCGTCTCTCAGTCAGAATGACACGATGGCAGTGACAGAAAGTGGGGAAGGAAGAAAAGAGGGGGTCTGGGTACAGATTTCTCTTCCCCCTCTCTTACCTGGAGATATCGAGGCACAGAGAACACAAAGAGGTCACAGAAAGCACCCTGTGCTTTTGATATTGCCACTTTGGAGCAATTAGCAGTCCAGTGCACCCCAGTTTTTCCTATGAAAATTATACTGTTTACCAAGATGGTCACATCTCCCCTGCCCTGGTGGGTGTGCAGGATGAAAAGGAGCTGGTCAATGCCGATTGCTACCAATTAGGGTGGCACGAAGCCACAGCGGCAGAGCACTGGGCAGTTCTGTCAAGAACCACGTGTCCACAGGCCTTCAGTCTTGAGAACACTAAGCCCCTCCTCCCCGTGGTCCGGCTCTGGAAGAGAAGCCTTCTGCCTTCCTGTTCTCCCTGGGAAGCAAGTGAAGTGCTCCTGGCTTGTCACAGGGCTGCGTCCCAGCCCTAACAACTGACCACAGTGTGCTCCACCTTCGGACATTACCATCCGCTTTGGTTCAACAGACCGCTACTGGGTACCCAGTGCTCTGCAGGGTGGGAGTAAGATGGCTCGGAGGGGACACGGATGTCGTGATGGCACCCGGGTCCCATGGCACTCATGGGCACGGTGTCCTAGGGGCTGTCCTCCCTCTTATTCAGGAACTCTGTGCTCTGCTGTGCCACCTTGAGCCCGTCTCTCCACAGTGAGGCCACTCTGTGTTTCAAGCCAGGTAACATGCTTTTGTCCATTTACTTGTCAAGGACAAACTATTCCCTTTGGTGACTGTTTAGAAAAAGAGAATGCAAATTGGCTAAGGACAGTGTATGCAAATCCAAACATCCCCTCCTCCTGTGGGTGACACATCTGTGGGAGGGGCCGTCAGTCATCGTCAGTCATCTCATCCCAGCACAGCCAACTGGCAATGCCAGAACTATAGGACAGGTGGGTGACAGCAGCCCAACTTGAGGGGTCAGACACAACCAGGGTCTTAAAGGATGAGGAGGATTCTCAGGACAGGCCAAGGAGGTGTTGGCAATGACCCCAGGTGGCAGGAATAGAAACACGCCAAGTCCTAGAGGCAAAGACTAACAGTCCACGGCAAACCATGAGGTCATGAGGCATTTTTGTCCTCCTTCCGTTCACTGAATGTGCTTTGCCAAGTGTTCCACTGTGCTGTCTGTTCACGAGTTATCTGTAGGAGTCCTCTGTGTATTGCAGATACCAGTGGGGATTTTTCTAGACAGCCTGATGAGTCTCTTCCCTTCCTTAACCCTTTCCATCTTCCCTTTGCTGTAGGTAATGTCCTGTAGGGTTACAAGCCCTGTGGGGTCTGGTCCCTTTTACGTTCCAGCCTCACTGTTACCCTTCCCCTCTGTCCCCTCCTCCCTGAGGCCACAGAGAACTTGTACTTTCTGGAATGTTCCACAGTTTCCCTTTGGACCTGTGTACATGCTGTTCTCAACTCTCTTCTCCACACTTCCTCCGATCCAGGGAAAAGTCCTATTTACACTTTGGCTGTAAACATAGCAGTCCTTTTCTTTGAAGAGCCCCTGTGCCCAAGGCTGAATCCAAAACTCGACTCCTTCTTATCACGCCCTGCAATTCTTTCTCGTGACGCACAGACAGGTCCTATGAGGGCAGTGACCACACCTTCCCATCCCCTCCCCACCAACGCGGGAGCTCAGTGCGGATTGGTAATGAGAAGAGTAAGCCAGGTCCTGAAAAGTTCAGATTTTAGCTTGAGGCAGGCAGTGATCACCCCATTCTAAGCAAAGGAGGAGGAAAAAGAGAACACAGGCTGTCTAAGAGACAGGATGCATTTCTAACTTGTTAGGCTAAGTAGACATGGGGCATTGGTGGGTGACAGTGGAGCTCAGCAATTAGCCCTAGCCCTCCAGGGACTTAGGGTCAAGGTCAAGGCCAGACAAGATGCCCCAGCACTGACGAATGGATTGAGAAAATGTGGTATCTATACACAATGGAATTTTATGCAGCCATGAAGAACGAAATGTTATCATTCGCTGGTAAATGGATGGAATTGGAGAACATCATTCTGAGTGAGGTTAGCCTGGCCCAAAAGACCAAAAATCGCATGTTCTCCCTCATATGTGGACATTAGATCAAGGGCAAACACAACAAGGGGATTGGACTATGAGCACATGATAAAAGCGAGAGCACACAAGGGAGGGGTGAGGATAGGTAAGACACCTAAAAAATTAGTTAGCATTTGTTGCCCTCAACGCAGAGAAACTAAAGCAGATACCTTAAAAGCAACTGAGGCCAATAGGAAAAGGGGACCAGGAACTAGAGAAAAGGTTAGATCAAAAAGAATTAACCTAGAAGGTAACACACACGCACAGGAAATTAATATGAGTCAACTCTGTATAGCTATCCTTATCTCAACCAGCAAAAACCCTTGTTCCTTCCTATTATTGCTTATGCTCTCTCTACAACAAAATTAGAGATAAGGGCAAAATAGTTTCTGCTGGGTATTGGGGGGGAGAGGGAGGGGTGGAGTGTGTGGTAAGGGAGGGGTGGGGCGGGGGGGGAGAAATGAACCAAGCCTTGTATGCACATATGAATAATAAAAGAAAAATGAAAAAAAAAAAAAAAAAAAAAGGTCAAGGCCAGAGATTGCCAACTCCAGCTGACATATAACATGGGACAAAATGAGTTGGGTTCAAAACAATGTGTAACTTAATGGGACGAGCATGTCAGGAACACCAGCTCTGACTTCTTACTGAGTGGCACTTGCGGGCCCCTTTCCCCTCGGAGCCTCAGTTTCCTCATCTGTAAAATGACATTATACTGATCTCCTAAGGTTGTTAAAGGGACGAAAGATGTGAACAGTGGCTTAGTGCCTGGCCCAGGGGCCGAGCCAGTGAGGGACAGTCCACTGGGGTGGTCAGGAACATGGATTCGAGGTTTGGGATCCAAATCATTTACTTCCCAGCTGTGTGACTCTGCAGGTTCCTTTGCTTCTCTGGTCTCAGTAGTCCCCATATGTAAGTGAGCTCCCCTGCCTCCAGCTGGTTGTGGTGATTAAGGCGCAGTGCTTATTAAGATGACTGGTACATCACAGATGCCCAGCATTAATGAGCCAGAGGATCTGTGTCTAGTCATTTTCCGTGGCAGGCCCAGGTACGGGTAGAGGAGGCCATCGGATTGTGAAAAGCTGGGCAGTGGCACCCCAGGGCAGTCCCGTTGGGTGTGTGCGGGGCAGGCACACGGCTCACCTCGGCAGTCCCTGAAGTCGGCGTGGTTGGGCGAGTGGTGCTTGCACAGACGCTCCAGGACCTGCTTGTAGTGCATGAGCCGGTGCAGCGGGCGCAGGAGGAAGGTGTTGAGCGGCAGGTAACACACCTTCTGCAGCTCGAAGTCTCGGCAGAAGTGCTCCAGCCTCCGTGAGCCTCTGATGGAGGTCTCCAGCGCCTCCAGGGCCTCGCTGTGCTTCCACAGGTGAGCTGACAGGTGCTGCAGGGGCAGGGGGTGGGGGAGGGGACAGAAGAGCTGATCAGCTTTCACTTTTGCCATGGAAGGGCACCTTGCGCTCATGATTTATCACGCGACTCTCATTAAAGTTCCTATTATTCACTTCTCACGACTTTATTATTTCAATGAAGTTCTGAGCATGAAATAAAAAGGTCCATTAAGGGAGTGAGCAATTTAAAATACAAATGCATTCTAAAATATGAGCTGTATAATGAAGACGAGAGACATAAATGTCCCTTTTAAAATGGGAGTCACAAAATTGCAGGGCAACAGTAGTTTCATAGGGGGAGGGGGCTTTCTTTTAAATGTCGTAAGATGGTCAACAGACCAGGGCCGTTCGATAAAGCATCACACATTTAAAAGTACAGTCGGGCTGGCAGTTCACACCTGTAATCCTAGCACTTGGGTAACTGAAGCAGAAGATGGTGAGTTTGAAGCCAGCCTGGGCTACAGAGTGAGACCTGTCTCAAAAACAAAAAAAAAAAAAACAAAAATTCTGGGCCAGGCATGGTGGTGCAGGCCTGTAATCCCAGTTACTTAGGAAGCAGAGCTAGGAGGATCAAGGTCTGAGGCTGGCCCCAGCCAAAAGTATGAGACCCTGTCCAAAAAAGAAGCAAACAGGGCATGGCTCAAGTGGTAAAGCACCAGCATAGCAAGCATGAGGGCCTGAATTTGGACCTAGATATTGCCAAAAAAATATTTTGTTTGCTCCATTAATTCATAAAATAACTGGGGTCCTGCAGAGCCACCTGCTACACTCCAGGAGGTGAACGAGGAGCAGGCGCTGCCCCTACTGTACTGGGATCGTGATGGAGACACAATCAGGCTAAGACCGTTGGTGGAGCACGAACGAGAAATCCATTCCTCTGGGCTTGTCGGGGGGAGGGATACTAATGGAGGGACACTTGCAGCTAGGCACAGGGCAGGGGGAGAAAGGACACCCCAGGACTTGATAGCAGCCACTGTCTTGAAGTCTTACTTGTTAAAAATTCCCAGGGAGGGCTGACTCTGCTCCAGGTGCCAGACACTCCCAAATGTGGGTTTCTATCTAATCCAGACTGCACCATCTCAGTGACAGGCCCACTGCCACGCTCTGTAAAGAGCTAATGCACAGCGCATCCATGCACAAACCTACTTCCTCCTGCAGCAGCAGGGCCGTCTCATTTATTCCTGGGAAGCTTCCATGTTCCTTTGAACCCTTCACTACGTCCTATCCATTAGTCCTCCTAAAAATGTCACACCTGCTTGCCTTTATTCCTGAGGTCACCATCTTTATGCTGCTCAGCATCCCTCACCGAGTGTCTCTGTGATCCTCTGCCTCATCGCTCATGGGGCCACCAAAATGAATTTCCTGAACTGCCACCAAACACATGGCTCCTAGGACGTGACCTTTCTGACCTTTCAGCATCTGCTGACCACTGCAGGCCACTCACTGGCAACATGCTCAAGAATGTGCCAGGCTTTTCCACAGGATGCTCCCTACACAGACCCTCTCCAGTCCCCTGAGGCCGTCCCTCATGCTGACTCCTCCATCCTCCTGCGCTAAGGTCACACCTGCCTGTATTAGCCATGATGACACAGACTCCTGTGCTGGGTTTATTTTCAGACTTTCTGTTTTGAAATAGAGATCCATAGGAAGTTTGCAGGGAAATGTACACGGAAGCACTGTGGCTCCCTCTCCCTCCTCTCCTAATGGTGCCGTCCCGCACAGCTGCATATCAGCCCACAGGTTATTGGAGTTGGTACAGTCCACAGATTAGTTGGGTTGCACGAGGCACACATGCCTTCACTTGTATGTGTGTGTGCACATGTGTGTGTGTAGCTTTAGGCAGTGCTGTTACACATGCAGTCCTCTATTTGATTTTGAGAGCAGGCATCTGTCACATTGCCACATCCTCAGACCCTCGTGTATGCAGTAGGTGCCCAAGAGATTCTGCCTGCATGTCTGAATGAGCAAAGGAAGCAATGCAAGCACCCAGATGGAGGCAGAAGGCAGAGTAGACCATGAAGGATGAGAGGAGAGGTCTGGAGGGGGAGACTGCCACAGTCAGGTTCAGAGTTTGGACTGTGTTCTCCAACCATAGAGCAGGAGAGTCGTATGAATGATGGCGCTGCTGTGGTATAGATGGTGGGCTGGGGGACCAGTCAGTGGGAAGCTAGGGACTCATTGGGAAGCTGACCTGGTCATCCAGCAGAGAAAACCTAGAGCCAAGAGGAGCGGGTGGCAGGCATTTGAGAACAGGGGTGGGGGCTGAGAGCTGGGGAGACTGATGGTTCAGGAAGGGCCCTGCACCGATGGTGGTGAAGGTGGGGAGGAGAGACTGGGGGCTTCCTTTGTGTGTGAATTTTTAGGTGCTTTTGGTATTTGGGCTGATGTTTGCAAAGAGAGGGTCACATGTGGCTGGAGACCATGATTTGGGTTTTTCTCACTTTCAGCTGGGGGTCAAAACCCCAGGCCAAGCTCCCTCAGTCATCCTGTAGACCCCAGTTACCCAGGGGACTGCTTGTGTGATAGCACAGCCCAGAGTGACATGCACACAGCGAGGGCATGCAGGATCCATGCCCTCTGAACCTGCTCTCCTGTGTGCAGCCTGGGAGCCGTCAGCAAGGCTGGTGTCAGGTCCTGCTTAGCACCTACAAATGTAGGAGAGTGTGTGGGTCAGGGTGGGTGGGGCAGGAAAGACACAGTAAGCTGGACATCACCAATAGGATTCTGGAAAAAACCTGGGCTGCTACTTCTCTAGAACCTTCTGTGGCTCCCCCCACATTCTAAAAATTCTTGAAAGCCAACAACAGTAACAACCACAATAAAAAAACAACTCATTTCACCGAACAGCTGCCAGTGTTCCCCCCCCCCCATCTATTTTTATTTTGCTTGAGCAGAGCTCGGTGCTATAAAGCCTGGTGGTGCTGGCACAGTGCAGAAATTCCAGCACAGCAGAGGAGGCCGATGGAGCACGAAATGCCAGCTCTCTGAGCAGCAGAAAGGGTGCTGGGCGCGGCGAGCAGGTATATTTTTAGGAGGTCTTTGTGCTGGTTATCAGAGAGGAGGGTGGAATGTCAACCCTCAGTGGGAAGGCAGTGCAGGTACTGAGGGGCTGAGGCAGGTCACAAAGGAGGGCTGGAGAACAGCAGGATGACGGGGTCCACCCTGCAGAGTGGTGGAAGGAAAGGCAGGTCACCCCTGCTGTCTCAAAGACCCACAGCAGAGTTTGAGCCTCTTTGAGGGATTCCTCCACTGGAGCCTCTGATTTCAGATAAGGGAAATTTGGTGAAAACCCAAAATGAGCTTAGAGAAAGCACGTGGCTTATGAAGCAGTGTCTGAGGTGGATGATAACGAGGAAGGTATCATAGTGACAAATCACGCCACAGAAGAGAACAGTGAAAGAAGCCAGTCTGAAAAGGCTCCATTCTGTGCGATTCCAACTACAGAACATGCTGGAAAGGTAAAATACAGAAACAGGAAAAGAACAGAGCGGGGAGGAAGGAGTGAATAGGTGAAGGCAGTGACACTATTCCGTGTGACACTGTCATGGTGGATGCCTGATATTAGCCATTGTCAACACCCAGCACCAAGGGTGAGTCCTAAGGTCATCGATAGCCTTTGGGTTAATGATAACATATCAGTATTGCTTCATCAGTCTTAACAACTGTACCACATCAAGGAAAAATGTTAATAACGGTGTAAACCATGCGTGGGGGAGGCAGAATATGGGAACTGTATTTTCTGTAAACTTAAAACTGCTCTAAGAAATCAAAAATACTGAATTTTCAAAATTCCCATGCCAAGCTGAAAAGATGCCTGTTGCTGTGACCCGTGAGTTTTGGGTGTCAGCCGCGGCTCATGGCACTGAGACAGTAGCTGTGGAATGGCTCACATCAGTCTCGCTTTCCTTACTTTGCACAGGGTTCTGTATGCCTGACCTCCTGACCACTTCCACAGCTGGTCAGTGACGGCGCCCCGAATCACAGCGTGCTGTTCTTGGTGAAAAAGTGGACAATAATCCAGGAACTGGTAAGTAACATCTTGATCTTTACTGACTGAAGAGGCCGGCTGGGTGCTGGTGGCCCGTGCCTGTCATTCTATGCTATTTGGGAGACTGAGATTGAGAAGACTGTGGTGCTAGGCCAGTCCAGGCAAAAAAAAGTTTGAGAGACCCCCATCTCAGTGGAAGAAAAGCTGGGCATGGTGGCATGGCCTGTCACGTCAGTGATGATGGGAAACATAAAATAATAGGATGGAGGTCCAGGCTGGGGAAAGTAAGACCCTATCTCCAAAACAACCAGAACAAAAAGGGCTGGAGCTGTGGCTCGAGTGGTAGAGCACCTGTCTAGTATACGTGAGGGCCTGGGATTTGATCCCCAGTGCCGGATAAAAAGGCTGACAGCCGTAGCTTTTGATCATGTCAACGTGATCAAACACCATGATTTGTCAACATGATGAAATCAACATGATTGATTCAAACCCCAACAATAATTTCTATGAACGCCTCCTATGGACTAGGTGCTCAGCGTAGGGGTGTGGTGGCAGAGTGAGTACCTGCTTTCCTAGGGGGCTGTCACTTTCTCTGGGCAGTTATTAGTTACTGATGTTATCAGACTGGCAGTTGAGACACAGGAAGATTGCTTTAGAATGCAAACATAGATGTTCTCAAAAGATAAGTTACAGGCAGAGGTCGGTGGCTCATACCTGTAATTCCAGCCACTTGGGAGACAGATCAGGAGGATAGGGGTTTAAGGCCAGCTTGGGCAAAAACGCAAAACTCTATCTAAAAAGTAACCTAAAAATAAAAAAGGCTGGAGGCGTGGGCTTCAATCCCCAGAACTGTCCCTCCCCCACGAAAAAGACAAGTTGTGTGAACAAAACCTTCTATGTTACAGGAATTACTAATGGGTCAAGATGAAAATGAAAATTTCAGATATAAGACACGGGGTGGATTTTGGTCTAGTGTTTACTTCTTTGGGTAAACGTTCATTACAGGAATTGCTGATCATTACAGATATATTTGCCTTCGACTGATTTAAAAATCATAGAACTTACTGGAATTCCTATATAGCTGAGAATCCAGTATTTTGTCATGTTAGAGACATGACAAAACTGACTGAATATGAAGTGACGTGTGCTCCACCAAACATTATTTTTTAAAAAAAAGTTGTATGCAATCTATTTATATAAAAAAAAAAATGACCTGTTGTTTTGAGTGTGATGCCTTTGAATCAAACAACTACTGGTAAGTGTTCTCCCCAAAAACATGATCTAGAGAGGCTGGAAGAATGGCTCACCAGACGCTCATCCCTTGTGTCAGGCAGGCAATGCTGCAGACTGGAAGGGCTCCTGGGCCAGCCCTCACTTTCCCTGGGAACTTGTCCCACCCAAACCCCATCCAGCTCACCTTCATGCCCTGAATGTTCTTGAGCATGACGTCACCGATTCTTTGGGAATCCCCTCTGGTGTGGGCATTTGAGCGGCCTTCCCTGGGACCAAAAACAAAGGTTGAGATGTGTTAGCAGTGAAAACACGGCCCAAAGTGTGCTGGTCCTGGATTACAAAACACCCCATTGACATCTTCCTTTCCAGACCCCTGGCTGTACCTCTCCTGGGACGTCTCCCATACTACTCTTGGGATCACACGTTAGTTCAGGAAGGCGACTTGGAAATTACCCAGCTCACTGTGAGAAGAATTCCACTTATGCTTTGACAGACAGGCAGAACCAATTTCTAATCCTTCTAATTTGGTCTTGTCTTTTTCCAACCACACTTGGCTGACTTAAGCATCACGAGCTGTACAGGAAGATCACTTGCAGTCGCTGGCTTATGAAACAGATTCTGTCCTATAGATGGGCACCAACAGACCCTTGTAGGAAGCAAGGCTCAGCCTCCAAATTAAGGTTTCCATTTCCAAGAGCCCTTAGCTTGAAGCAACGCCTGGTCTGGAAAGCCCTTGGGAAGGGAAAAATATAACTGAAAATGTGCAGGAGACTCATTCCTAGAGGGGGGTGTGCAAATGACACAGAGTGGACAGGACGGGTGGCCAGGTAGAAGAGTCACTGGGGCAGGGGCTGGGGCCCTCCCAGACATGCAGGGTGGTAGCCAGCATTGCTGTGTACGTTGTCTGCAGCTCAGTGCTTTAACTGATGTTGACAATACAGGCCTCAGATGGCAGAGAAAAATAACAACAGCGGTATTTCCTGACTGCTTCCATGCGCCAATGGATTAATTCATTTAGCCCTCTGAGCAACTTTTTGAGGAAGGTACATTACCACTCTCATTTTATAGCCAGGGCAACTGAGGCACAATGAAACCAACTTATCCAAGGTCTGTTGTCACAAGGCAGTGAGCTTGTACTTGGCCCAGGCAGGCTGGTTCTGAGTCTGTGCCCATAACCCATCACATCAATGCATGCCTGCTAATTTACCCAAAGATGAGAAAATAATTTTCCAGATTAAAACAATAATGAACCTGGCTAGTATCTCCCAACCAACTGTCCAGGGCAACTGGAAGCCAATTTATATGAAAGGAATGAATTAAAGAAACAAACCAAAACCCATAAAGATCAGGGCACTGGGCTTCGAGTTAGATGTGGGAGGTGCTGGAAGTGGCTATGACAGCTGGCACCTCAAGTGAGGACAATTTAGACCCTGCACGTGCAGGCGCCACCAACCCTCCAGCAATGACAAGGGTCTTGTGCTGCGGTGGCCTTCCCCAACTGGTGCCTCCATCTCTGGGTCACTGAGGGTCTTCAGGGGACCAGAGGAGAGCAGGGAACACAGGCAGGCCTAATGCAGTAAGCCTGGAGGTGGACAGGGAAGTGAAATAGAAACACAGGCTACCTTCTTTCTTAGGCTTTGACTTTTATACTACGCAATCATCAGAACGGTTCACCCCGCAGGATGCAATGTGGTCCTGAGTGAAAGTGCCATCCAGGGAGACTGAGAGCACAGGGACCTTTGAGCAATTAGAACCCTTCTAAATGAAAGAAGAGAGAATGTCCACTGTGTTTTGGCTGGGACTTCCAGCCCCTCTCTCATCCCTTGCTTCCTCTTGGCTTCCTTCACTACTACTGTTCCTTCAGGAAACTTGAATTCTCTCTCTCTCTCTTTGCCATTTTCCTGGGATAGTTCCAGGATGATTACTGACAACCTAGCCACTACCCAGGCCAAGTCCTTCTCCCACTGAGCCTCCCTAGTGGTCGGCCCCACCTTATATTCCCCCCAGTTTCAGGAAGACATTCTCTCCCGTTGCCCTCTTTTCTGTCCAGGCCAGCTCTCTGGTCATTTTGGCCAGCTGCATCTCTCTGGGCCACTCCCAAAATGTCTGTGTCCTTTGGGGCTCCATCTGTGGTCATCCTCCATTTTACCCTCTCTTTCAACTGTTTCCTAGTCTCCATGGCTTCGATTCATGACACCAGCTCTATATCCAAATGTTCTCTGTAACTACTGGCCTGGGTTCTGTGTTTCCCACACCTTCCAGAAGGTTCTATACAAATGACCCTACAAGTATCACAAATGAAGGTGCTCCAGAGTTCATGGTCTAATTTCCCAAACCTGACCCTCTTTCTGTTCTACTTTCTTTTTCTTCCCTTCTTGCTTTTTTTTCTTGAGTCAGGGTCTTGATGTAGCCCATGCTCATCTGGAACTTGACATTCTTTTGCCTCTGTATCCTAAGTATTGGGATACTTACTGGCTCTGTGTATGTTTTCTTTTTTTTTTTTTGGTGGCACTGGGGTTTGAACTCAGGACCTCACACTTGCTGGGAAGGTGCTCTATCACTTGAGCTACCCCACCAGCCCTGTTTTGTATTGGGTATTTTTGAGAAAGAGTCTCAAGAACTATTTGCCTGAGCTGGCTTCAAACTGCGATCCTCTTCATCTCTGCCTCCTGAGCAGCTAGAATTACAGGTGTGAGCCACCGGTGCCCAGCTATGTGTAGTTTTTAATGTTCTAACATTTAGTTTGGGTCTGTTGTTTAATGTTCAATTCCAAGTTATCTGTTTATCTTCTACTTGCCCCTCTCCCTACCCCTAGCCACAGGATCAAGTTCTCTCCCAAATAGGGTCAGTGCAGATTGTTTCAGCGTCTGACTTAGATGCATGCTGTCCTTTGGTGACAGTCCCTGGCCTTCTGCTAAGCGTTGCATATTCACCCTTCAGATGCAGGCAACTCTGGAGCTTGGGTTATTAATCGAATCAGTTTCTTTAGTCATTTTGCTGTTCCTTCCACATCACTGGGGTTGGTGGGTAGTTTAGACACTCGGGGCTGCAAGGGAACTGAGTTGACAGGAGGGTCTGGCCTAACAGTTTAGAAGCAACTGTCCCACTGCACTTTTGACAGCACACAAGGCTTTAGTGAAAGCTGGGAAGTTCTTTCCCCTGCCCTCTGTACCTGAGCCAACCAGACCTTCCCTCTAAGGGAAGACCCAGTTACCGAGTCAGAATGTCCTGACGCCAGCTAAGTGCCACACAAGCCAGGCACGGCCCAACTTAAACCTGATTTGTAGGAATGAAGCCATTACCTGGAACCTTCACATTGTCAAATGGGTCTGTCATCTGATAACACTTGTAAGAAAGGGCTTAGTTTGGGTTGGTGGTGTGGCTCAAGTGATAGAGCACCTGCCTAGCAAGTGTGAGGCCCTGAGTTCAAACCCCAGTACCACTAAAAGAAAGAGGAGAAAAGTCTTAGTCCAAAGGATGCAATTTAGTTATTTTAATGAGACGGGTCTGGGTTGAGTGGGGAGGGTTGTAACTTCCATTAATAACAAGCACTTCCTCTCAGAGCTAATGCCCTGCCCAAGACACAATGGAATGCTGGGAAGGGTGGTGAAGAGTGGAAGCCAAATTTCATTTATTTCACTTCTTCTGTTCTTTTGCCAACTATTTATTAAAAGAAAGTCTACTAATGTTAAAACCCCTGACTCCAGAGACCTTCCTTCCTGTGTCCACCTGCTATCACAGCCGGGTCTATTTCTTAGCCTCGAGCATCCTTTCACTGTGGGCAGCATCTGTCCCCTGTGTGGCAGGGGGACACCAACAGTGACACATTTCCAGGGAGGTTGGCTATGCTGATGTCGTAAACACAGGCTGTGGTCGCTGAAGTTTCTGCAAACAGTACAGCAAGTGTCCACACCCTCCCCTCCCTCACAACCCCTCTGGCTCACGCAGTCCACCCCAGCCCTGAGTGGGTCCAAACTCCCAACTCCTGCAGCCTTAAACGCCTTCATATCTGGCTGCTTCTACATTCGACTTCCTCCAAGTCCAAACCCAAGGCATTTGTTTTATTATAAGCAGCTAAAAGGTCATTTTATTATTAAGAGCATGAAGAAGTAATTATAACTTTTCCATAACGTCCTTCGGATGTTAACCCCACAAGAAAAGGGTTCTTGTTTGGAAAGTAGGGCCACCTATTTGTTGTCTGGGTAATTACCATGCAGCAACGAAGATGAAAATTCCTTTGACAATTTCACTTAGGAAAACCATGTACAGTCTACTAAGAAACCACCTAGAGGCTAAATTCTGATCCGTGGAACAGGATTAATTTACCACCCCCCCACCCCCCTGGAGCCACACCGTCGGACCTCAGCAAAGGACTGAACATACACGCACACCCTCCCCCTCCAACCAAGAAGAGGACAGGAACGAAACCATCTGGAAGTGGGTGAGCCTTAACCACAGCTAGGCCATCTAGGAAGGTGGGCTGTGCATCTGGGTCCAGCAGCCTCAGGAGAGGCAGATGGAGGCCTTGCACCGTGAGGATTGTCTCTGATGGCTGAGAGATACTTCACAGGCAACAGTGGCTTCTGGGCAAAGCCGGCCCCAATCAAGCAATAGTTTGCCCTCCTGTGTGCATCCCCAACCCCAGGTCAACTCCAAATCCATTAAGAACCTGTTACATTGCCCTGATGACCTAGAACTCTCCCGTAAGTATGCGAGCCCTGTGACATGGTCTCCCTTGGGGAGGTGAGTTTTCTGGACATCAAGGCTAGCTTTGGGGACATGTAAGAGGAGAGTTGTTAGCAGTGAAGGCAGGCAGGGCCTCTCACCCAGGATTTCCCAAGGAGCCCAACAGAAACCTAGACATGTTCGTTAGACACCCAGCACACTGTCATTGCAACAGAAGAGTCCGATCATTTGATTAAAACGCCAGAGTACATGGTGTGGCTGCAACTCCAGGCTGACTTTCACACGGCTCTGTGTTCGGATGCTCTCTGCCCCCCGGAAAATGGATCTAGTATTTTGACACCTGAGTTCAGATTTGCAAAACGAACGACACATTCTTGCCCTTACTAATCCCTGCAGTTTCTGATTCTAAAGAGGGGGAGAAGTATGTAATTAGTATGTTTTGTGTCTGTGTTTAGTAAAATGGTTCTGTGCAAATGAACACATGGATAATTGTTTTGCCAACTATTTATTAAAAGAAAGTTGACTGATGTTCAAACCCCTGGCCCCAGGGCCTCCTTCCTGCACCCGCCTGCGCTCAGAG